TGTGCTAAAATAACTTAATAATATAATATAATAACTTACAATATATGCTCCTTAAAATATTTATCTATCTAAATATGTATATAATTTTTAGACTCATAGTTTCGAAACAAATAATACAAAAACATTAATAAAGTAGATAAACTTTTTGCATCAGATTTATTAATCAAAACATAGGATTTATTTAATTTATATATAGAGAGATATTCATTATATAGAGGACTTAATTAGTTTTTATTTAAGTAGAAAAATCAAATCACCAAATCAAATCAAAAGTAAAAATATCAATACTTTTCTCTCCGTGATCTTCGTTGGATGGTGGGTTTCTTGGAAAGATCCGAGCTCCCGTTTCAAGGTGAATGTCTGTGACTGACGACATCCGACACTATCTTACGGATCTGCTGCGGTGCAGCTTACGAAACCCCTGAATCATCCGCATAATGGGTGCCAAATTGTCGATGGGCCTATCGGGCGTATGTGTAATTTGCTACCACAATTTAATCAGCTTTCAGTCGGCCAAATGACGTCAATCGATATGGGCAGAGGCATGTAGTGCAATAGTAAAAGTGTAAATCATTTCGTAACGCAACATCAACAGCGAAATGGGTGCAGCCTCCCGGAGGAGAAAATCAAAACAAGCCAGCCGATCTTCAAGCTGGAATTCCGCTTTTCGTTTTCTTCGACCGCCATAAATCGGCAGACATTCGGATGCAAATGGGTTCAGAGAGCTGCAAAAACATGCAAATTCAAATGCCGCTGCACATCCGTCTTAACGGCCGAACTTTATGTCGGTTCACGCGTCGAGTGTGAACGCCTCCATTTGTCGGCTGGCATGTGCCAACTTCCAACATTCAACATTCAACATTCAACATTCAACTTCCAAACTACCAACTACCATCTACCAAACGGCAATGGCCAATGTCCAATGGCCAACAGGCTTGGCCATTCATGCGAAAAGCAGCCGTCCAAGTGTCCAATGTGTGTGCTTTTTATGAATGAATTTCGCTGGTAGTTGGACCATGTGCCTCGTAGTTGCCGTTGCTGTTGCTGCGGTTCATGTTGCTGCTGCTCCAAGTTGCTGCTGTCTTTGGGGTGTTGCTGTTATTGTTTATGGCTGTCACAGAGCAGGGTAAACAAATCGCAAGTGTCTCGAAACGCTCCGAAAAAAGAAAAACACTGTACAACTTGTGCTGCTGGCATATTACATAAGCAACTGACCCAATGGACGTAAACAATTTTGGCCATAAAACTGCACAGTTTTCGTTTTTCACTCCATTTTATATTAGTTTTCCAACTAAATAGATGTTGGCTTAGTGACCAAAGATAGAGAAAAAGGAGACACAAGTTGTTAGATTTGTCCTTTTGGCAATCCTTTGTTCCCCAAAAAAATTAAGTAATATTCCCTTTTTAAGCATATAAAGAGAGTTGTTTCTAAAAGTAAGCAATCATCTGCTAAATATTTTTGTTAAACTGTGTGTATACCTGAACAAAGGGTCAACCTTACTGATTTACGTAACCAGGATGTGAAGTCAAGTGCTTTTGGCTTGAACAAAGGCTGATACTCAACCCTTTTGTTTCATTTTCTATGCCTCAAAACAGAGATTTGTATTCAACCCTTTGACCTTTTAAAATATTAAATCGGTTAAGAGTATTAGTTCTTAGGAAAGCCTTTTAAGGCTAACTTTTAGAAGTAAATTTGTATAATGCATATGGCATATGAATTTAAGTTGGGTTTAACTATTATTACTTTTCTATTCTATTTACTTTTCTATTTCAATAAGTGAGAAATGCTGTCAAAACATGCCCCACTAAATAAAATAAAGTCTAAACTTTACGTAAATTTAAATAAATCAAGCTTTTTTTATTTATCCTTTATTAAGTAAGATAAATTAAATATGTTTGTTGGCCATTTCTTGACTTCCTTTCAAAAATAAATATCAAATACTTCTCCAAAGATTTACTTTTTTATTTATTTATTCAAAGAAGTAAAAACTTTTGTAGGTATTTATTTTTTTTCTTTAGTTACCAAAACTATTTCCGCCGCAATAAACTTGCATTTTCACCCAGTCAAATTATGTATTTGCCTATAAAAAAAAAAAAAAAAAACGTTAATGTCTTAAGAAAGTTGGTCACAAGCCTCCAAAAAGATGGTCAAATACCGCCGCGTAGAAAATCTCAATAATTACACTACTTATTAGGCCAATGGCTGAGTGGGCTTCAATCAGCAGATCGAAGATCTGAGAGCTGGTTGGAATTGATGGTTATTTTGGGCCCGCCGGAGATATCAACGTATTCTCACTTTCATTTTGCTTGACATCAATTTGGGCCTGGGACTCATTAGTGGAACGAGCGACGACGACGACGCCGATGATGATGACCGTTGTGTCCCACACAGAGGCCATTTTACTGTATTATTTATCAGCTGAGAGCCCTTTTTCTAGCCGTTTGAATTAAATTAAAGCCAAATGGCTTAGCCGTGAAAGTTTTTTTCCTTTTATTTTCTGGCCAATTTGCATAAGCAACGAAAGCATCGAGGGCGTGCATTACGGAATTCTGGCGATCGTCGACGAAAGATATTTTAACGGGGCAGTTAATGTACCGTACTGAATCGTATCGAAATGGCCGAAAACAGAAAAGTTTCGACCAATTGGTAGCACAATTTCACATTGTTTGCTGACATCTTTTTCGACCGGCTCGTATTTTGCCAATCAATTGCCACTTTGTGGGTGTGTTTGCACCGCTGGCGAGGCTAAAAAATTTCTTGTTGACTTTACATTTAATTTCGTTTATTTTTTTGCTTTTCATTTTTTTCATCTTTTTGCGGCGGTCATGCAAAAAGAATTTCGTGTTGGCCATGTATGTAGGTACTGGTTTTATTGAACGGCAACAAAAAACCAGAATGGACAACAACAGAAGCATCGCAGGGCAACATCAGGGGCAAAAATTTAATGAATAAATAACAAAAATGTTTCGGTGAAAGTCGTGGTCAGAAGTGAGCCATTTACACACAGCTCAGCCCAGCAGCCATGGCAACAGATAGATATGTGTGTGTCTGTGTGCAGAGCCATGGCAAATATTTGCATTCAAATTGCTGAATGGTGGCAAGGAATCAAGGAAAGTGAAAAGTGTGATGCAATGCATTCTGCATAATCTGGCAGGCTTGACGGGGATTAAAGGAGCCTCTTATTTATTTAATCCCAGCTCGGGAACATTAATTTCCCTCACTCCCTTTTCAGATTAGCATCACTGCTGCATATTTTAATAAGTAAAAGTAAAGTTGGTCAGAGTCAGAGTCAGAGTCAGAGATCCAAGAAGCTAACACACACCCTGAAAACACAGCAGACGAAAGATTTCACAAAACCATAAAAATGTCAAGTTAATAGAACACATTTTCCCTTTTACGGCCATTTGAATTAATATGAAATTTGCATAATAATACCGGAAAGGGGATTATGTATACAGACTGCGCTGAGAAGCAGCAGTAACCGATACGGCCAGCATTTCAAATAAAGAATTTGCGGTATTTGGGTTAAATATTAATTTACATGTGAAACGGACGAAGCCGCGCAGCATCATTGAAAAGTGAAATTTTCGAGGCAGCGCCTGAAATGTAGGCTGCGTGACACTTTCAGTCAGTCATCCCAACCAGCGGGCTTGGCCCGGCCTGGTCATTTTCCAAGATCCAAGTTCCAAGCTCATCGAACGGCGATTAATCAGCTAATTTCTTTATGAACTTTCATTTATGCACTGGACTTGTGGACTGCTTGACTGGAGTTCCAGCATTCACACACGTCTTGGCAGTCATCTCATCACCATCATCATCATCATCGCCGTCGTCGTCGTCGTCGTCGTTGTCGTGCTCATAAACCCATAAAGCCAGCAGCTTTTATTGTCAACTTGTAAACTGGTAAAAATCAAAGCGAACCGTTTAGAAAATCAATTCCGGAGCAAGTGAGCTCTTATATAAAGCAGCAGCAGATCATATACGGATTGTAAAACAACAAATTTGCCTTTATGAACTTATTTTATAATTTAATTACGGCCAGCAGACGCGCTCGTAAAATGCCGTTGAAAAGGGAAAGTTAGCAGAAGAGCGCTCGCTTCAACAAAGAAGCAGCACCAGTAGACGGAGCAATTAGGCGGCGGTACAAGGTCCAAAGCGTTGGGGAAAGGGGCAGGGACAGGGGCACAGCTAAAGGTAGAGCAAGTTCCTCTTGGTAAGATGGTAATGGTAGCCCTATCCGTATCCCTGCCGGCCGCTTAACGGGTTTTGCCCGTTCAAGTGCTGCGGCTTTTAATGGTATTGTGTAACAGAACGCACATCTTGTTTTCTTGCCTTTTGTTTTTGGTTTTTGGAGGGGGATTTGGGGGTCTGTCATGGCTGTAATTTGTTGCTACTCTGGCCCATGGCTCTTTAGGTGGTCGAAAAGAACCGTTGGCGCTGCCAAAATCCAGTGAAAGTTGGCCACGCATTATGCAAATTCAATCTGTGTGAGCTGGCCGGCTCCAGTGTGCCAGTGGTCGTGTACCAGATTCCACGGAAAACAAGAGTTCGCTGGCTATCTGAAGCGCGGATCAGCAGAGAACCGATGAAGAGTATCCGACCCCTGATATCCGGTATCTGGCAGCTTCATCGATAACACTGCACGAAAGCGGGCTGACAAATGACGACACCAGAGGAAATCCGAAAAAGGTTATGGTGATGATTCGTACTTTTGATGCTCTTTGTCTGCGCTTTTAATGTAAATTATTAAAGGTTTTTAACTATATTTTAAAGTCTGTTTGGTATAAGTAACAAATGCTTCTCCTATCCATATTTATTTATGACCTGACCTGGCATCCCCTGTTAACTTAAACAAATTCTCTCTGCTTTCATGGGATTTGACTGCCTACTATTTTTTTGTTCTTTTGAATTCTCATGTATTTTCATAATCTTCTCTTTTATTATTAAAGCGCTGTAAAATCTTTATCTGATTCTAAATCCTTCTAGCCCAAAACGCAAATTAAATACCATTTATTTAAGCCCTAATAAGTTCTTTGGGCAGGATATTACCTGGAACAAACCCAACCTTCTCCCCAAAACGTTTATATCTCAGAGTCAGGGTATAGCCACAAATACAACCGTTATGGCCATGTGTAGGTTGCCTTCTGCCACTGCGGATGCTGATGGCTACACAATACGAGCTCAAAATAAACTTTCACCGATTTCATAAACCGAAGAGAAGCATCCAAGGCAACAGCAGCAGCAGCATCAGCAACAACAGCCACACGATTGTGCAGAGCGGAGGCAGCGTCTCGAGTGGCACTGCACTCGATTCGGTTGGAGTCGGGATGAAAACAACTTGGATCTGTTGCATGATGGATAAATTATTAAATTACTTAAGTGCTACATAAGAACTAACAAAATACACGTCAACAGAGCGTCAGAGTCTCAATTCCAGCCCCTGTAGGCCAGGGGTTGTTGACCGGAGGACCGGCGCCTCCTCTTGTGGTGGTGTCCCTCGCCGGTCACATACGATATGCTGTGACTGGTCTCTCCACCGTGTTGGGCGGCTGTCTTCAAGCCCAGCATCCCGGCCATCATCAGAGCCACCAAGGACACGCCCAGCGCCTTCATGGCCAGAGCAGCGATTCCACCCAGTCCCATCACGGCCATCATCTTGCCAAACATCAGAGCCATCGCCAGCAGCATGCCCTGACCTTTGTCCTTCTTGCGGGCCTCTGAAACAATCAGAAAGACATTTATTGCCATGTGACTTCTGTCGCTGCAGATGTATTTTAGGTTTTTATTTGCCAAAATGTCCTGGATTTTATGGAAATCTGTATATTTCTGGCATCGAAATGGCAAATGGGGTTTTGATACTGAAGCAATGCGACAGATATTTCAAATTGAAATACTTTATAGAGCTTTTAATAATTGGCTTTTGTTAGTGCAGCTAGTATTTTAGATAAAAACTCCAGCAACATGCTGAAAGGAAAACCATGCTAAAATGGTTAGAGAGGCAATCAAAAACAGATTTCCGATGTAAATTCTAAAAGCCTGTCCAGGCAGAGCCTCTTGTTTTTGCGGAAACGTTCACTGGATTTTATGAACTTTCAGGTCACAAAATATTATATTTTTGTAGACAATGAAAATGTTCTTTTTTTTACATTTTTAAAAGGTTAACAGAAAGAAATCATCTAGCAGATGGTAAACCGATAAGGTTCTTGTTAAAAATATCAAGAATTATTTTTATAAAATATTCAAAGAACTTTTTTAAAGACCAATAACTTGTTTTAAGCTTTTTTTCTTGCTTTTTCTATTAAATTGGGTAACTTAATCTTTCACGAAAACCCTCTTTTAAGTACTGATAATAAAAAGACATGGATTTTTATCATTTCCCTCTTAAGATGACTAATTGTTAAAAATGTATGATGAATGACAACAGAATAAATGATGTTTCCATTCATTTCATCTTCAGTCTTCTCCTTATACTAGTATGATCTATAGCTTACCCGAAACTTGTGCTTCATCCTCGAGGAGATCTGCCAGCTTGACGTTAATCTCGTGGGTTCGAAGATAGAATGATAGACTATCCAGAAGACTCTGATCCTGTTCCTGTTCATCCTCGACGATGGAATTGTTTAACAAGTGGAACTATCTCTAGACCTCTAACCACCACCAGAGGCTGATCGCTGCGGTTTAAGTTCCGCAGGATATTTCGCAGAGCCCGTTCACCGCGACAATATAACGTGGCACTCGCATCCTGGTCACAGTTTTCCGAACGGACAGCCGAGAAGAGCAGCAGACAGAGCAGCGGAAAAATGCGAAACATGTTGCCAAAACGCTTGAAGTTCAACTAAAAGCCTTGACAATTGCCTGGTCATATTTTATAGCTCCCATTTCCACGGGGAACTTTCCCAGGAGGGGGAAAAACGGAGGCACTCAAGCATCCCCGGCCGAATTGTCACAATTGTAAATTAAAACAATGGTGCTTCTGGAAAGAAAGAAATATGCTTTCAGTTCGCGTTTCTCTGCTTTTTGCCTTGGCCATGCAATTTTCTTCTTCACTGGCCGTTGCAATTTTTCCAATTTTCAACGGTCAGTTGGCCGGACAGCCGTGGGATGCGCTTGGCTGCCGCCCGTTCCACCAACAACTTGGCCTTTGGTTCACTCAACTCGCCGGCTCCGTTCAAATTATACAGATTAGAAGTGGTTAAAGTGCTGCGGGTTTGTTCCTAGCCCACACCTAGTTCCTACTCCACTTCACACGATTCCCTGGCGGCCCAGCCAACATCTCTATTAGCCGACTGGCGAGCGTGTCAGCCAAAAAAGCGAAAGTTACCCCGCCCGAAAGATGAGCGATGAAGACGTTTAGTAGCAATTTGCGTTGCCCGGCTCGTGCAATGACCATAAAAATGGGTCGCCCGACCGTGGAAAAGGGGTAACATGGTGCGTATCTTCGGGTCGTAATACCATTAACAATCGAAAGTAAATCATTCTGGAAAAGTAGACTAATTTAGATTACTTGTTAGCTAAATGGAATAACATTAAAGGGCAGACAAGAATAAGATGTGTATTCTAAGATTGTTTGCGATCATGCTTAGGCTCTTTCATCGTCTTTAAGGTACACTTTACATTCCATCTTCAGGAAGAAATAATGAATTTATATTTGGGCGTTACACTTATTAGCTTTAAATTTAAATCGAAATCTGTTCCAGTTTTTGAACTTACTGATTTGCTTTCATTTTCAATGATTGAGAATTCAGTTTTCAAATTTAGTTTAACGGGACTTTTGAGATTTGGAGATATCAATGATACATATTGTACATAAAAATTAACATTTCAATCGACGAGTAACATCTTAACTTTCTTCGCTCGTGTCCCAGTTTCCATCAATTGGTTTCTGGGTTTTCAGATAATTCGAAAAATAAAATGAAACTTCTAAGAGTTGTGTTAATGGCTTGTAACAATTTCAGTTAGTTATGTAAGGTTACAGTTCTAATTAGCGTTCTTTCCCGAAAAATTAAAGAGATCAGGCTTCGTGCAACATGGTGCTATAATTCAATTAGACAGAGATACGGACCAACACGGTCTTCTTGGGATTTCGTAAGCCGTTGCCCAGCTTTTGGGGTATTTTGTAATACCGTCGAACTTATTAATCAAGCTAACGTGACCGGGGTCCATCGGGCAGGCGAAAGAAATCAACTTGGCAGCATCAAAATCCCGCTTCGGTCGTCATTATCGCCATTTCTCTCCATGGAGCTGCGAACGGTGATGCTTATTCGAGCGATGATGAAGACGATGATGATGATTGACTGCGCTCCCAAAGCAATAACTTTCACTCTCAATGTATTAATTTTTATATTTATCATATTGTTGTCCAATACAAACACACTCACACATTAAGGCACACACTCTTACACACATTTTCTGGAAATTTTGAAACCCCAAACGATGTAAAAAAATTAAACACATCACCGCAGCAGCAGCAGCAGCAGCAGCAGGGGCAGCGGAAACAAAACAAGTCGTACGTTATTGAGTCGAACTGGCAGCGAGTCAACCAAAAATTGATCTGAACTCGTTACGTTTGCCTTGTGTCGGTGTCGGCAATAAAAAGAAAGTATCTCCCCCTGGCAGCAGATCATCAGCTCCATGCCCCATGCTCCATGCTCCATGCTCCAAGCTCCATCTCCGCCTTGAATCTCCGATTTTGAACCGAGGAAAGCAGCCGGGGTTCGATTCGATTCATTTGAGTGGGGCCTTTGTAACCGCTGTTTGCCCCAACTTCAATTTGAATCGGTATCTGTATCTGTATTCCAATCCGAGACCCTGCCTTTGTGGCAACTTGTTATAATTGATTGTTGTGCATCATCATCATCATCGTCGTCATCGTCATCGTCATTAAAAGAATCTCATTTGTGGCACATTCAATTGAGACCACAGTCCAATGTGCAATGTGCATTGTGGTATATGAATTGGAGTGGATTGAATGAGCTGGCAGTTGTGGCTTCAAATTGTCGAGGGACTAAGCAGGTGTGAGGTTGTGTTTCCAATGATATTTGCCTCTTCTAATATTAGGGTTTCAAAGGATTTCCTCCCCACAAATTACATAACTGAGAGCAAAAGAAATAATTCATTTAAGGGCTTTACTATATACCCCATATGTTTTCCATTTAGTACTTTCATAAAATTGACTATAAACTGTTACGGATGCTCATTTTACCAATAGCATTTTATTGCCTATACTATTTCATGCTTAATGCTTATACTTTAACAGTCGGTAAGTTTTAATGGTTTAAAGTGAATTTAAAAGCCAGCAGGTAGTTTGAGATAATTTAAAATGTTAATCAAAAAATGCTAATATTATTTTACAAAAAAGTTTGATATTTAAATATCTTTTTACATAACGAGAAAAGCGTATGCAACCTTGTCATCGTAATTATGTTTTGAATAATAATAGATAATAGATGGTTATTAATGGCTTATAGTAAATAAGAAAGTGTTTTTTTTATAAAAATATCTATTTAGAAGGTGACTACATTTTACAGATAAAAGCAAAGATAATCTAATTTATCAAAACCTTTCTTTGAAACACATTTCCCTAACCTATTTCCAATAAACAAATCTTACACTTCCAGTTTACACTGCAGTGCACTGTTTTGTCTTCGCTCCGAAAACTATGCCACAAATCGTGCAGTCTTTTGTCAGCCCCAAAGTATACATCCCATTTGCAGACCGCAAACCAACGTCTTGGTGCAGTGCAATCACCACGAATTTGCGAGTCAACATCCTGCGGCAGTTGGGCTGCCAAATATGGGTGGGGCTGGAAATCAGTGGCAACTAATTAATGAGCCCAGTAGCTACGGCAACTGAATCAACAAAACAGCAAATCAAACCGAGAGAACCGAAGAAAAACTGCAAGTTTGTTGCTTGTGACACGCACAGGTGAAATCAAACAGATGTATGTTTTAATTATAAAACAATTAGATTAAAATAAATTAAACGTATCGCTGGGCTCAGGCAATCGATTAGAAATGAAAGAAAAACAACCGTGGAGAATAAACAAGGTGCCGTGCGATTGAAACGCGAGGGAAATTCGTGCAGGTGAAAATAAAGCAGCATAAGAAAAGCACAAGCAAAGCAAAAGCATATAAGCATAAGCAAAAGCAAAAGCCGCAGAAAATCAACATCAACACGGCCAGCCAAACAACCGCAGACCAAAAGCACGGGATGTATGGCCACGTAATTGGCTTCAAAATAAACAATATTATTATTGTTATTGTTATTGTTATTGGCCAGCAAAATACAAACTCTTTGGAATGGCTTTAATTGAGCTCATTTCCAGGCGACTTGCATTTCTCGCATGACTCGTGACAATTTCGCTTTGATTGACTGCCAAAGAGTCAATTTGGCCGTCAGCCCTGACAAATCCGTTGGCCATGGTGCGATGAGAGCCTGCAATCGGCCGTCAAGCCGTTTTGCCAGACTCACTTGGCTGGCTTTCTAGGATGGCTTGGATTATGTAGCATTAAGGTGAACGGTTCCCCTAGTGGTCCTTTTCTCTCTCTCTCTCTTTGTCTCTCTCTTTCTATGCAGGATTAGCGCAACAATTTGGCAACTCTAAGCGGCTTTAAATGGGTAAAAAGTCTCGTCCCTTGCCCAACGAAAATCCTTTGAAGCTTGCAATTTAGTGAACAGCACTTCAGCAGCATAAAAATGTGCAAACTCACAGCAGACGTGTGGCACATTCTCATATATTTTCCGTTCTAATGACATCTCAAGTTGCTCTCGAGCGTTTTGAAACTTTTGCTCTAAATTAAAAACTCTCAATGGCTTCAAAGTGCAAACAGTGCTACATTATCCAAATGGCAATCAAATTGCTTTAAGCTTCAACTTAAGATGGATTCTGCTAGTTATTTTCAACAAGAGCGTTTCTTGCACGGGAAGAATAATGTTGTGATATCAATCATCTTTGATATCCTTTGGTAAATTAATATATTTCTTTAGCATCAATCGAACAATAAGGATAAGAGTTTATACTATAATTCCTCTTTCATTCTCTTGACAATCTCTTATATTTTGTTTTATTTTTTATTGAAATGTATTATTATGTATTGTATGTAATAATATTTAATAATTATTGGAAAAAGAATTTAACATACCTCATTTTACGAAATAGAAAAGAAAATTCTGAGGAAAATTAAATATAATATTGAATTAGGTTAATGTATAACAATGTTTTTGATGCATATTAACTGTTTTAAATCATAACACCAATAAGATTCATAAAATGTATATATAGAAATATCAGATTTAAAAAAATATATTAACAAAAACGCCAAGAACCAGTTGTTATTTATTGTACATAAGATAAAGTTTTAGAGGGTGCAAAGAACCCATCAAGAAAGATAATATTAAAAACAAACTGAAACTGCTATAGTGTTGTTTCGAGTGTTGTATTGTTACATTTTTCCCAGAACAGAATAGAGCATTGCAAGTTTTTTCGGCAACAGACAAAGTTTTCGGGTGTAAACAAGTGACCAAACAACCGGGGTCTGCTAAGTGAGCCATTTTTTTCTCGAATGGCAAACTTTCAATCTGCACTTGGCCAAGTTCTTGATTAGATTTCGGAATTGAGAGCAATGTTCAGAGTATTCTTGTATTTGGATCTTCGGTCTTGTTAAAACTCGATTAAAATGTGTGGCTGGGTGGATAAAAGTGAAAAGGCTTTGGCCGGCAATATTATTAAATTGGAGCTGGTCAGTAGCCACTTTTAGTTTCAGCTAAGTGCATTGAAAATATTGAAATCAGAGCCAATTAAGGCGAAGAAGCCGCTGGCCTTTGGACCGGACTCCACCCAACGGATCCGGTTGCCGTCAAGGATCATTAAACTTTGGTGGCACACGTAAACTGGAGCAGCGATGTGGCCTTACTAAGCCTGGTGGTGGGGTAGATGGGTTGGGATCGGATTGACTCGGGTCGGATTACCGCTTTCGGACTGCGTCACCGCTTTCCTTTCGATGTCCATCTGGGCTGTTGGCCCCGGCCTTGGCCACTCCATTGTTGCAGGTTTGGGCCATGTTGCTGCGGTTGTTGGTGGCCGGTGGTTGGCTTTCTTGGGGAACCGCCTCGCATTACTTGCGCTTTTCAGGCACATTGACGGGCCGTGGTGTCAAGTTGCGAATGGCGCGGACATTGAGATTACAGTCATTACACTCTCAGTGGATCTTCGGTCAGATAAAGCCAGAAAGAGCCGCGGATCGCCGATGAAACGGTGCCACTGCTAAAGAACGGTCGAGGTCTGATTGCCACTGCCTCAAAATTGCCCACAATTACCGAGCCCACCTGCGTGCTCACCTGGCTGGCTGGAAAAGTGAATATTTATTAGTCCCGCTCATCATGCACCGACGAAAAGTGTTTTATTGGCTGCATTTCCCCGCCAGATTTCCCCCTCCTCTCTCTCCACTGCATTTCGCCTGCTCAGCAGAATGTAACTGAGCCGGCGATTTATGAAAAACGAGAGCTATTAGTTCGTTTCACTTTTCTTTTATTATTTATTTATTTATTGTGTACAGGCGGCGAGGCGTGGCCATATCTTGAGTCTCAGCCTCAGCCCCAGCCGCAGCCTCCACCACCCACTTTTCCACCCACCTCTCCCGCCAGGCTGCTACTTAATTGTACCCGCAGTCGAACTGCACTTTGCTTTTACTTTTGCCTGCGAAAATTGTTTTCAGCAAATTGCGCGCAAATTAATGAGCAGTAAATTAGCCGCATTAGTACAGTGGCCACATGCCGCGGACGCCGTTGAAGTTAGTGGCTTTCTGCCACGGCCACTTCTACTACCATGGCCATGATTCCCACTCTTGGACAAGACCCATGTGAGCCACCAAGTCGCCCACCTATGCCAAGGGCAAAGATCTCTCATAATGTCATGTGGTTAACCAAATTGCATCTAATTAGATCACCCTTTGAACCTTTCGCTAGTGCAGCTAAAAAAAGGCCGCTGGCAAAAACCAACAAAGCAAATTGCTGACTGCTCCGTTTGCATTTACAGTGGGACAAGTTGCGAGAAACTGGCATAAAATGTTATCCACTATAGTTTATATCATAGAAACTTATCTATAATATATATTTGAGAAGAAGGGGATCGGATGTAGATGTTGAATCTTTTATAGATCCATGTAAAAGCATGTTTGACCTAAAAAATCTTTTAAAGATTTCCTTTTAGTTTGCTCTGAGTTTAGTATGCTGACTAAAAATCCTTAAGGCATACTTACCTTCTATCTTCTTATTCTTAGATCTGATCTTTTTAAATCTATCATCTTTCTTAATTCTAATGGTTTTATGGTGTTTCTTCTACTAGGGATCTTAGTTTTTCATGTTGATGTTTCCAAGTAATTAGTAATGAAAAGACTTTGCCTACCTGACAGACATCGAAACGCGCATTGAATCTGTTCTGACCAAGCTACAAACTATGTTAATGGTGTGGAGTAATAGGCTTAGTCCAAAGATTGCAGTCTGGAACCACTGTGCGCAATCGATGCTCCATAGCTTCAGATCTCCGATACCGAAGCCGGCCCGCTGAGAGATGGCCGTCACTCAGCTGGTTGACTTGAAATCAAAACTGTAGCAGAAACGTGCGACGTTGTTGGTAATGGTGGCGGCGAAGGAGGTGGTGACGATGGTGTGCATTATGGTGTTGCAGTAGTGCAGTCAGTGGTGCTGCACGCAGCTTGGTTGGATGCTGCTGCTAATGTTGGTGCTGTTGCCAATGTTGCCGATGTTGCTGCTACTGTGCCGTTGCCGCAGCTGCTCCAATAAAACTGAGTTGCATGCAACTGCTGGTAATTAGTCTCTACAAGGCGCTGCATCAGCCGCCATCGAATCGCGTCCATCAGCATCCATGTGAAGGATACGCCGCGCTCTCGTCCTTATTCCAGTGTCGTGTGTTGTGCTGTGTTCTAAAAAAAAAATAAGACCGAAAAGCTAAAAGCTTTAAAATGCCGAGCCATCTAGTTGCCAGCTGCCTTTTGCTGGTTTTGGGCCTGAACATGAGCCTGGGGGCCAGCCACAAGCGCAGTGGTGCCAATTCGCTGGGAATGGATCCCGAGGCCAAGCCTGCGGCAAATCCTGCGGTCGGTGTAGAAAACACGGACCTGCTGGACAAGCTAAGCTGGAAGTGCGCCAACAACGCGAGTTGTCTGTACGGCGTGGCCAATGGCATCATGGCCTCCTACCGCCGTGGAGAGACCCTCAAACTGGGACTCTTCGACCTGGTCAAGTTGCCCGAACTGGATGCCTCGCGCAAACACAAGTGGGGCACTGGACGCGGCCTCTCTAGTTTCATGGACTTCGTCACGGGGAATGCCATCAGGGTGCCTGTGGGCCCGATGGTCTTTAGTGTTCAGCGGGCCGAGGATGACAGCGAATACATCGAGGTGGCTCTTCTGAAGAAGGCCTCTAGCGGAACAGGTAATGAATACGGAAGGGTCGGGAGTCCCAATCAGCGGATGACATATGCCTGACGGCCAGGCGATGCCATTTGATCCAGCCCGAGCGGCTTAACCAGCTGCTCCTGCTTGGCATGCGGCTCGCATTTGAACGATACCTCTAACAAGACCCTAACAGATGCCTACACTCAAAAAATAGGGATAAAGAAAGATTTATTATCTCAAAATGGTTGGGCAAATTGTAGTTATTTTCTGGAGAACTATCGTAAGTCTCCATTTAAGTCCTTTTTTAATAACCTCTACGTAATGTGTTGAATCACACAATGAAAGGTGCAACCCAAAATTTGCATATCTAAAGAAATGTTAATAGAAGTCTTAGCGCGAGAGTAGATTAAGGTTTTGTTTTTAAAAGCATTTTGTCAACTAAAATTGGAATGACGGTTTTGTGATTACCAAGATAAATGTATTTCTAAACTAAATGCTTTTCAAAAATCCACTTAAGTTTGATATTATTCATTCGAGAATCACCCTTAAGAACCACTTTCGACCACATTATTATGAGTGTAGACTTCCAGGGCGACTTTTCCGAACTCTACTTCCGCACCCAATGCATATCAATGACTTTGCCAGGATGGCCCAAACTGCCATTATTTACCCCTATTTAATCTGACATTCGATATACATGGCAGAAGGGCATCAATCATGCCGTATCCCCTGACAAGAAAGAGGCGGGCCAATCAAATCCTTGTGTCGCACTATTACGTATACGTACGAGTGCCATTAAAGCCATAAAGCCTAAAACGTGTCTTGTTTCCCAAAATTCAACTATAGGTCGTCTGCAGGGCAATGGAGGAGGAGGACTTCTGGGCGGAGGAGGTGGCTTAGGTGGTAACGGAGGCGGGGGAGGAGGATTACTGGGAGGTGGAGGTGGCGACAACGGAGGAGGAGGTGGACTTCTGGGAGGACGGAGGCGGCACCAGCACCAGGACAAGAAACAGTTCCAGATGTTCATACCCATGTATCTGGCGGCCACAACATTTGGTTGGACGATGGTGGCCGCAAAGGCAGTGGGACTGCTAACTCTCAAGGCTCTGATCCTGTCCAAGATTGCCTTCGTCGTGGCCGCCATTGTACTGATCAAGAAGCTCATGGACAACGCCAGCGAGAAGTAAGTACTGAAAAAAAAAACAAAATTTTAGATGAAACTTTAAAGGAAATCAATCAAAAGGCGTAGGATATACATCTTTTATGAAACTAAAAAAGCTTCAAACGATTCATAAGTTTTAAATTTTTCAAGACTTTCGATAGCTGTAATATACGAGTTAAGATAAAATAAATATATTTTCATTTAGCCTTTTCTGCCCTCACTGTTATTAGAGTTTTACAGCCTCGATACCAAAATAAGTAACATTTATATAAGCCTTACTCATATTCCACTTTGAGTGCTAGCCAAATGAGAACAAATATTAGAATTACGATTTACAAAATAAAGAAATTTATTTAACTTATTTAAAATTATTTAACAAAAAATATTACAAAAATTGATACTTTAAAATTAATACATTCGATCCAGGTGTAAATATATCCCCTTCTTTTTTCTCTACATAATTACTTTTAAAGAACTTAATGAAACATATCTAATATATAATATGTCCAAAAATGTAATCCCTTAAAAGGATGATGTACCAATTCCCCGAGCAGACACCCTACATGATGCCCTACGGCATGGACTATCCGCTTCACGGGGCTGAAATGTCGCCGGAAATGTACCCGGCCTCGCTGCACCACCTGGCGATGGCCGGTGGGGGCCAGCTGCCAGGACATCCCGGACATCCGGGACTGGAGAGTCTGAGCGCCGAAAGCCATCTGCACTCTGCCCAGGTGTCGAGCGATGGCAGCAACAACACACAGGTGCTGGCCGCCCTAGGTGGACTCGGCGGACTAGGACACAAGATCAAGCGTGAGGACTCGTGGATGGCGAAGAGTAAGTGTAAGTTGATCCAGCCTTTCGATATTTCAGATAGTCAGGGGACGGGCGGGGCCCCCTAGACATCCCAAATCCTTCCATCCTTCATCCTTTCACCTATCCATGGCCAAGGTAAATTCCCTGAATGCGGTAGCTGTGGCGGCGGCTGCAGCCGAGGGCGCCATCGAGGACGACGATGAGGACGAAGACTGAGCAGAGTACATATTGCTTCCATTTGTCACCCGGCACGCACACCTGAGGTGTAGGTTTCCCAGAGAATATCACAAGGCCGGAGCACATTTATTTGCTTTCGGTGAGTTCTTATGCAGTTGGTAATTTTCATTGCATACTTCCAGGTAGAGTTTTTTTATTGCAAGCTGGTAGTTAATAGGATCTACTTTTAATTTGACTTGCGCTTCAAAGTCTTTTTGTCCCACGTTCCAACATATATTTTAGTCGAAGGTATTTTTGTATTTTTACAAGATTCTGGGATAGAAGAGGTGATTATGATATATATATGTAATTCGCTTTTTTATTATTTATTCTTCTTCGGATTCCTCTTTTTCATTAAACGTGGCTTTAGTTCTGGTTTCCATTTCATGAGTTCAAAACTTGAAAACCTTTTATATATATTTGCAGTATTACAATTTGTAATAGATGAAAGCTTAAAGATTTCCTGAATTTCGCTCTCCTAACATTGGATTTCAATCAATCGATTGGTAATAACTCTTCCAGAGCTATAAATAATTATGAGAGAATAAATTTTCCAATCAAATTCAGCTGGGTTAAGACAAAGATAACTGAAAAAAAAGTTTGGGATAGAGAAGAGGCGTAGGTGCAAGCTCATGTACTATATAGTGATGTCGAGCTTATTTACGAAGTCTGACATCTTATTGTGGGATTAACTATTGCATACTTTTCTGCTGCTGCAACTAATTAACTTTGGACAGTATAAAACAACCAGCAAGTGCGGGGAAAGGAATCAAATTCCAAACATAATCTTAAAAAAATAAAAAATATTGTTTGTTTTACAAGTGGTCCATAAGGGCAAGCAATAATTTAGTTACAACATAGCAATAGAGGTGTGGAGTTGGCCATAAACTGAAGAATAAATGGGAATGGTATTCACCCCCGACACTATACTGACCCACCTTTGAATTTATTGCATCTCTGCACCCTTTACGCCCTACGTCCACATCCCCTCCCACTCTCGGTGGCTAGCGAATGGCTCTGGGGCACCAATTACTTGCCTGATTAACGATGGAACTCGTGTTGCAGCCACTCCAGCACGGCGACCTCTGATCTACAACTACGTGCAACCCCACATGCCGTACTACCGCTCCTGAGGCGACGATTAGCCAATTAGCAGCTACCAAAGACCCCGTGGGATGGAGGAGGTTGCTCTGCTGCCATAAGGACCCAAATATCGGACACATATTGCATCGGAATAGCAGACAAGCGAGCTGACGTATTATTTATTGTTTATTATTTATTGAATCGTTCTAACTTAGTCAAACCTGGCGCACACATTTAGTCTAGTTCAATCTCTGTAATTAGCAGTCCAAGTGCTACAAAAACTAAAAAAAAACATTAAAGAATTGGACACAAAGTTGTTCAGAAACTAAAATCGCTTGCGTATGTTTTTTATTTATGCAATAAATATTAATAAATAAATAAATTAAGTGTAAGTGTAAATTACAATAAATTACAAATGACAGAATGAGCATCATTGAGAAAATCGAAAAGTGAAAGTGAGCGAGATTACAGTAGAGATGCAAAAGAGTGAGTTAGAAAGAGAGAGAAAGAGTAATTCTAGAGGAAAGTAAAGAAAGTTTACAAGAGATCCACAGAGAGAGATAGTTAAAAGAGTGAGAGCATGAGAAGAGTTTCCCCAAGCCAGCAGGAAAGTGTTAGAGGAAAACCCAATTTAGTTCATTCCTGATCTAATGACATACATAACAAGTTAGTTAAATCTAGCTTTATTGCGCCACTTTCCCCGGCTGCTGGCCGCTGTAGGCCAGGTTTTGGGCCTGCTCCTGCTGGTGCTGCACCTCCTTGGCCAAAACATCAGCTGGCACGTCCACCAGACCCTCCACGAATCCATCGAAGGCCCTCGACCATCCGGAGCTGTAGCTATCGTGGTGGGATGGCACCTCCACGATGGTCTTCTTGCTGGAGAGCAGTTTCTTCAGCGAAATGATCACCGCCAGGAGCAGGGCAATCTTCGAAACAATCAGAGCCTTTCCGGCTAACAGGAAAGAGTCCCTTGAGCAGGAGAGCTCCAACCATTCCCGTCTTGGCCGCCATCATCATCAGCAGTGGCCCCATGTTCTTCATCTTGCCTCGTCCCTCCTGCAATGCCTCCAATGGGCGCACAGACACGCCCACATTCAAACTGCCCTCCGGATCGCTGTTCATCACAAAGTCTGCGTTCTCCGAGAACTTGTAGCGTAGCGAACGGGACCGGATGAACTTCCACAGCTTGTTGGCCATGAGGAGCGCGAAGGTCTCTTCATCGGATCCCATAGACCGAGATAGCAGCTGATTGACCTCTGGATCATCAGGGGACCATGGAGATGTTCCTGCAAAGAAACCAATTCAATCATGGAGGAAAATATATGAAAGTGGGTTATAAGATTTGATATTTTTACTTGGATATTTAGCAACCGGCATAAACTATTAAGTAAAGCGGTTAAGAGTCGAATCTACGGAAATATATAATATCTGTTTAAATTTAAAAAAAGAATTATATATCTTTCGGAAAAACTATCCATAAAGCTTTCTGTAAGATTTGAAGCTCAGTTTAAAGTGGCAGGCATATATATTATATATATTTTATAATCCACGTTATTACATTATATTTTTTACGTAATTTATATCAAATTAAACTTTCTTAAATATTTTTAATACTTTGTTTTGTTAAAGATAAAGTCTCATAAGGATTTAATAATTTCCAATATGAATTTTACTTTTCATGTTTTTAAATACATTTTTGCCATTTTACTGATTAACTTAAAGTGAAGATTTTGTATATGATTTAAGACTGACGTTTCCCACTTACCAGTTCTCCGTGACCTTGACGCGATCACCAAGATCAAGTCGAGTGTTCAGGTACAGGTGGTTCATTACAATTGACATCTTGACCATCCTGCAGGCGCGATCATCCTCCTGCCTGCAATTCTGCTTCAGCTTGGCCAACAGAAAGTCTTCAATGTTTCGACGTTCACTGTCCGTTATCTAAAAATATATTACACATACCTTAGTAATGCTACATGTTATCATTAACATTAACATTACAATTAACACTTTGTCTAAAATAAAACTCTTAATAAAAAAAAGTTACACCCTTTGAAAGGAAGCTGCTGACATGATGTTAATGTAATAGAAATAATAAGACTTTGAAGGTTGTCTGCCAACATGACTATAGAAGTACATAATTTATATTATTTATTTATTTATCTGAAGCTTACTTTAATTTGTATGTTAAAAGAGCAGTAAAGAAATTATATTATTTATTTATTATTAAATTATTTTATTTATCAACCAAATCTTTGGATATTTCTGAGCTCTACTCTTAATACAGACTGAGAAAATGCCATCTAAATGGCAAATATTTACCCTAAGAAGGTAAACTTTTCAACCCAGCTTGGATTTAATCCTTGAGCCTTTTCTCTGGCGACACTGAAGATGAACTTTCGGATAAAGGAATAAATTGGGACGGCCAAAACAAAGGTCACTGGCTTTGTTGTTCTAAGGCAGAGCGATATCCTTGTCAGTGGTAATTAATGCCAACTTTGGCAACTTTTTCCGGACCTTCCAGGACATTTTGCTTACCGTAACGGCGCCATCTCGCCTTTTGCTGCCGCGGGCGGAGACGAGGACTAAAAAGAACGCCAGGAGCGCGCAGACCTTGAATGTTTGCATCGCTGGTCTTTGTTTTCGGCTATCGTTTAGATTGACCCGTTCTCCGGTTAGGCGTACAGTTTATGGCTATTTTCTTGGTTTTCACTTGGACTGATTGTCACACATACACACACACACTTGTGCTTTGGTATATCCTGGCCTTATCCTTCGGCTCTTGAACACACACACTCTCACAAACGCCCGCGTCTTCGCTCTGCTAGAATGCTACGCTCTTGCTGTTGACATCGTCGCCTTGATAGAAAACCTAATGCGAATTTTCCGCCAGTGAATTCGATTTTATATGAAAAGCGGCCAAAAGCGCTGCAAACACAATACAGGTCTCTGCCGCAGTCGGCGCCTGCAGCGACGCCGGCGTTTGTTTTTGCAGGCACTCGATGTTGATTTTGCTATTTTGCACCTGGAACTGGTCCCCAAAAAGACCAGCTCCTTGGCCTCCAATGTGCCACTCGTTTGGCCAGTTTCCGTAGACTCTTCTTATGGCCTTGTCTCCGAACATGCCACCACATTCTGCCACCCAATGACTTTGTTTATGTTTTCCCCGGCGACAAGTTCTTCTCTGCCTTTGTTGTCTTTGCAGCGTGGGTCGTCAACAAAAACAAAGCCAGTCGAAAGTAAACAACAGACCTAATTCCCAACAACAAAGAGGCCAATTTTCCCACACAGCCTCAGTTTGGAACTAGAGGAGGAGAGCTGGGATGTAGGAAAAGTGGGCGGAGAATTAGCAGCAAAAACAAGACGTACTTCCATTGACAGCACGCATGCAAACCTGAAAACTTTTCAGTTGCTCCAATTAGTCAAAGGCTCTTCATTCCACGGAGTACTTGAAGCCAGGGGCGCAACCGAAGGTGTTAACTAGGGATCAGAGTTTGTGAGTTAATTACTTTAAACAGAATATTAAGTGGAAAAAGACAACTATCAATCAATCAATCGAAATGTAACAAATAATAATATTAACATGTTCCGAAATAATTAATTATTTTGTATTAAAACCACTAATTTAATATTTATTAAAATATAAAATACGAAACTATTATTCAAAATAAAGTGAAGATTAAGAGGGCTCAAAGTTCCATTTACTCCTTCAAGTAATACAGTTTTTTGTATATGTTTTCAGTTTGTCGAACTCTTCTGACTTTACTATTACTTTTCATAGCGCCTCTTAAAGTTAAAGTTTGAATCTTTTAATCAACTTTAGTTATGCGTACAACATAACACATTCTCTGCCCCCCATTGTGGTAATCAACAGCGGTGAAAACTCGTGTTCTTTTTCCCACCGCAATTTTATTTTGCCACACGCTAGCTGCATTTTCCCGGGCCTTTTGCTTTTAGCCGGAACAGATTAAGAGCAGGTGTAATTTATTGCATTTATTACGGATTCAGCGGTGTCCCGGGGGCGTGCCGGCCCAACAGGTTGTGCGTCCGTTGGCCATTTACCGGGGAAATTCAATCAATTTCCCCGCCAAGACCAAAAGTTATTGCACACACCGAAAATTGGCGGCCAGCCTCAAGAGCCGCTCGAATTTCCACAGAATTTCCACCGATCTGGAAGTAGGCTAGCCGGCTGGACAGTGAGCCACTAAAGTGGGACGCCTGCCTGGCCACGAAAGTTGTGTGTTCATGTGGTCGCAAGAAACCGCTAGTCGATCTGTCCATAAACCGTTTGGCTCCTCAGATCGCAGCTCCCAAATCAAGCCTCTCCAAAAGCCAATCGCGTCCGCCCAGGCCACTTAATGCAGCAAGTGCACTGGGAAAAAAATGTTTGCGAATAAAATAATTGATCAATTTATTAACTTAATAAATTAATTTAAAGAACTATAAAGAGATGTATTTAGGAAGTGTGAAGAAATACCTTATTACCAACCTTAAGTCAAAAATAAATGATTAGGCAGATTTTTTGCTTTATTTTTATTAAAGATAACCTTTAAATTAAACAGTCATATGCCTTGAAACATAAACAGTAAAACTTTTATAATTAATTATTGCTGCTGTGAGCCAACCTACATCTTCACGTTTCATCCAAACTATAAAATTATTACTCAAATGGAGATTTACCAGATGTTTTATAGGAATATATTATGAGGATATGCAAAATTCTGTTACTGCTGAAGTGTCTAAGAAATTATTTATTGCTTACAAAGTATGGTAACGCATCTATAAATAAATGAAATAACATTCACTTCGTCAATTTATTTAATCATATCTCTCAAATGAACACCTTTTTTGTTTGGAGGAACAAGTTATTTTGACTCACGATTTTTGCTATCGATATAAAAAGAATTTTTCCAAAACAACACCCATTCCCAGCCACTATCAAGCCCCATGTGATTTTTCTTGTCCCAAAACTGAAGATAAACGAAAAATTTGAAAAGTCACCATTTCATTAAGAGACTCATTCTGTAACTCCTTCAAAAGATGAACTTACCTATTCTGATTATAAATATACATTTGAATTAAAACTGCAAAACCCTGTCCCTCTTTTTTCTCTGTGTGTCTGCCTAAGTCGCCCCCGGTTGGAGCCATAACAATTTCTCAATCTGAAGCAAGCCGCCTGGCAGCCCAGTAGTAGCTTCAGCAGCGCTTTCTTTTGGAAAATGTGGTCCAGGCCAGTCGACTCCTCCGACGGTGTTGACATCGCCAGACACAGGCTACTAGGCTACCCAAGCTACCCAGCTACCAATATCACCGCGTTGGTTTTGGCATTGACTTTGAAGTTGGCCAAGCCAATCGGAGGAAGTTTGAATCGTTTTTCGAGGGGAAATGGTCTATAAAAACTTTCTTAAATTATTATATTAAAATATATTTATTTATTATATTTATTTCAAAACTGAATATATAAAAATGAATAAAAAGGAATATAAAATGGAATAGGGGAACATATAGCTTTTAAATTATTAACAATAAATAAATTTCATTTTTACTTAATAGTATAAAAGTATTACTAATTATAATTAATTTCACTACATCATTTTACCAAAGTTGTTAATGTTATATTATTTAACGAGGTAATAAATCTTTAAACATTTAGCAAGTAACTTAGTCAGTGCCGACAGTTTATTACCAAAATATAAGTTTTATTTGACAGCTTATGGTCTTCGCCATACTTAAACACTGATTGATGGCAGAATTGATCACTTTCTGGCTTAAATATTTTAGCGGTCTGAAAGTACCACCAATAAATTAAGTTTACAGCATCTCAAGTCAAACTAAAGTCAAGAGCACAAAGAACTTTAAATAATGTGGCCTTGTGCCTCGGATGATTTATTACCATTTTCCCGAGCTTTGGATCAACCCTCGCTTAGGAAAAGCAAAATCAAAAAACACGCCAGTCCACTTTTCCTCAGTTTCTCGCCTTGGCATTTCATTGCCTTAATTAAAAGCTGCATTTTATTTCTATCAGCCCGAGTGTGAGTAAAAGCAGAGCAAGTGCAGAATTTGGAGAAGCATTTTGTAGTGAAATTTTCGCCGTTAATTGGAAACAGCTTCCCTCCGTTGGCCCGCGGCAACTATGGTTTCCTTTCTTTCCTCCTATCCCCAGATCGAAATTAATTGGTATTCATTTTAGACTTTGTTTTATTTACAATTAGCGTAATAAATATTCTTATAGGAATGCAACAAGGCCGAGGGCCAAATAAATAACAAAGTGATGGCGAAGTCCTCGAACTTAGCTCTTCTGAGGCTGTGGCTCGGCGGCAATGTCCTTGCCGGAGTTGCGTCCGTAGTAACCATTGTAGGCCGCCTCCTGTGGGTCTCCGAAGCTGACCGAGTTGCCAGCGACCTGCTGACCCTGGACCTGTTGACCCTGGTAGCTCTTGCTATAGTAATCAGTGTACGGCTTGGCGAAGCTGGGCTCCTGGCGGTAGTAGGGTCCTGGAGCGCCGCCATGGCCGCCTTCAAAGTGTTCGTGGTGGTGGTAGTAAGTGGCAGCACCCACTCCCTGGGGATTGTACTCGGGGAAGGTGTTCTTGCCACCGAAGAGGCCAGACAATCCACCGCCAAAAGCACCTCCAACGCCACCTGGTGGACGGCAGAGCTTAAAGTAGGCGAACAGACCAGGCAGGACGATGGCAGCCAGGCCAAGGATCTTCTTGAGACCAGCGATTCCCAGGATGAAGGGCAGGAAGAGCAGCAGCTTCAGCTTGAAGATCTTCAGCACCAGCAGCAGGGGGATGATCATTTTCTTCAGCTTCTTGCGCGCTGCAATTTAATAAATTAAGTAAGTTAATGAGAAATCCAGATAAGATTTAAGGTTGAAAATAAATATTTAGAAACTGGAAAAGCACAACAATGCTCATTTGCAATATTCCCTGGCATTGTTTGCATTTCCACCGAAAATAAATAATATTTATAGAGACTTACAGAAGTGTCCAGCACGCTGGCCATCATCAATAAGGTCCAGTTCGCCATCAATGTCGTTTCCGATGAAACGGGCCTCGTAACGACCGGCTTCGGTGAGCTCCTCTGGCCACTCGAGTTCCAGAGCCGTGGACTTGATGAAGCTGGAGCGGAAAGAAGCGGAAAACGTGTCAAAGAATGAGCATTTACATTTTCATAAAAATCTCATATTTTATTCAAAACCCCGGCCAAGTTTGCGGGACCCAAATTAATTTGCATCCGGCACGAGCCGCAGTCATTTGGCTAATTGTGACAGCTTACCGTTCGGCCCTTCGGAGTCCGTATTTCAGCAGCTGATTCCACTGGTCATCGTCGCCACGTGGCTCCTCGGAGTACTCAAAGGGTTCCTGCAGCAAGGACCTCTGCTGGGTTTCAGGCAGTCGCACCACGCGGGCAAAGTCAGAGAGCCTGGGAATTAAAGGGATTGCTTGATTAATTTCCTTGCCCCTTTGAATAAATCTTGTGAGAAAGACAAATGTGGTTATAAAAATAAAACAATTCCACTCCAGATGGGTTCATTTCTTGAAAATTGTGTCGAAGAACTGCCTATTCTATGTTTTTATAGAACAAATAGAAATATTTGTTATTGAGAGGAAGCCATCCTTTTCATGTGAGAAAGTTTATTTGCATTTTATGCAAAGGTATGAAAGAACAGAGCTACAAAGGTAGAAGGCAGTTACTTGCAGATACTAAGTAGCCATCGCAAGAATTTAAGTCTTTAAGAATTTCGTTTAATTTAGTAACCACTGTCTCTTGAAGATGCTTACTTGTACTGATCCTTGAAGAAGATCTCGTCAAAGGTGTTGAGGGCCTGGGTCTTAAAGCACTCGGAGAGGTCGCCGCCAAGGCAGTTGCTGTTGGTCCTAGCCAGGAAGGGGTCATTGTCGTTGCCCAATCCAAAGATGCTTAGCAAGGAAGAGCGTCCTCGCTCTTCACCAACTCCTGGCTGCTGTTGCTGAGGGATCTGCTGGGGCTGCTGGACCGGCGGCTGCGGCGCATAGACCTGCTGGATGTTGTTGGACGACTGCTGGTCCGGTAGCCGGAGACCTTCTCCGGCCACCAAAGTGACGAAGGCCAGTACGACGAGAGCTCTCATTGCCATGGCTGTAAGCAGGAGAAGACGAAATGGCTTAGCACACGGCCACTGGCACAATTTTCGTATCGAATCGCTGAAGTTTTCTCCCAATCACCCGATTATTTCAGCCTCTTCGGCTGTGTCACGCGATGTCAAAAAAGTTTGTGTATAAAAGCAAGTTTTTTGGCAACTGCTTATTGGCTTAACGGATTGGCTCTCCACTTAAAACTGACACACTGTTCAGATGGCTCAGAGGCCCCATTGGCACACTGTGCAATTAGCCGCTCACACGTAATAACTCTCGCTTTCAAGCCGACTTAGGCAGCGGCTCACCACTCTTTGCTCTTCAATGTTTACTGTTAACTTGAGTTTGCTCAAATTTCTCGGGGCGAGCTTTCTGCACCCAAAAATACAGATAAACCCACAAAAGAAGCTGGACGCAAAGTGAAATGCAAGCGGACCGGTTTGCCGTCTTAACCCTTTGGCGGCAATGAGGCGGCAAATGCCCGTAATTGAATCCCGTGCTAAAGCGCATAAACAGCGGGCCTAATGTGCTTTAAAAAGGTTGGCCAAGACCGAGTCCGGTCAAGCAGAAATGCACCTAAGCGTGCTTAATGCGCGATATGAACAGTGATATGAACAAATATATAATCAATACTTAAGAGCCTATAATATTTAACCACCAACTTGAACTTTTTACCACTAATAAACTTAAACATTTTAAATATTTAAAGGTATAAAGAAATTGGTAATCAAAAATACCTACAAAAAGGCTAAATTAAAAGTGGTTCAAGTTTTATAAGGAGATTTCCAGTTCTGCAGCTAAAATCGCACGCGAAAAGTTGGTCACGCCCGAGGGACTTTTTCGGTCAGTCGCTTTTACTTTCGTTAGGCTCCTATTTGGGCCAAAGCCTGTATTGGCATTGGGACTCATCAGCACGACGATTGTGTGTCAATCCGCTAGTGGTTTGGGCCAAATTCGCAGAGACTTCTTTGCCCGGCCATCAACTATACAGAAGTCTAATGTCCAGGAGAAAAGTTTTCTTTCGGCCGAATAGTATGCAGTAAAAAATACTTTATGGCGAGAAAGTGGAAAGTTTATGGCAACTTAAAGACGAGCGCCCAAAAGCAGACAATCAATTCTGGATATTTGTATGGACTGGCAATGGGATGGGTGCGGAAGATTTATGGCTTTACTGAATCAATTAATGATTCATGGCGAATATTTGGCCAAGTCAATGGTCTTCGCATGGGATGTCGAAAGCGAAAACTAATTTTGGTCACTGTGTCGTGTTTGTTTTGCTTTTTTGTTTTGCCTTTCCATCTACATTCGCCATTGAAGGTCAATGAAATGTGGACCGGCGATGGTCGATATTACGAAATTACAGTGGCGATAAATGGAAATGATGGCTTTATCTGGCTGAAAGATTAAACCATTTGAACTGCTGACCATGTTGGTATACATTTGTCGAAATTTAAGATAATGACATTACGTTAAAAACCATGGAAAAAAGATGTTAAAATTTTACTAAATTGGACTTGAAAGTAATATAACGATTTGCATAGAAAATAATTATCAGTCAATTATCCAGTAAACTCCTTCAATAAGTACTGGTATTTTGTGAAAAAAGAATTTAAAGTAAAAATAACCGTTTCTAGAAACTGCTTCTTTGTGGAAATTTCCATTTTTATAGTCATTCCTTAAAATCGTTAAAACTGTTATAGCGAAAACCAAAAGCCTCGTTTAAATTGGCAATATTAGCGACATCCATTTCATTTTGGTTTTTGCACAATTTCTCGCAGTTCATTTCACTTCACTTCACTTGATTTTATATTCGATTTTTTAGGTTTTTAGGTTTTTTCCGCTGTTTACCTTTTGCTGTTTCCTATAAAGGCCTGAGGTGGTTTTTGGTTTTGTGTATCCTTAAAGCTTCTTCCAAGCGACTCTGTCTTTCTGCTGGCCAAAAGCGACTGTGCCGTGGCTGCTGGCCGGCAAAGATTTTATATGAAACGCGAGAAGTGGCGAGAGGAGGAGTAGCCAGCTGAACGGTGGAACAGAGTCAACATAGAGACATGGAGACAATGGCCCAGACGCTGTCGTCGCACACTTTTGGCCCACAGCGATGATGATGATGATGATGATGGCTAACAAGCAGATCTCAACACTCTCGCACTTGCGGTAGGTTGTGGATACGATCGATGTCGACCCGATCGGGTTTACTTTTGGCTCCGTGGGTGAGAGACAACGACCTGTGCTTTTTCGCGTCCGGCTGGGCGAGCGTTCGTGTGCCTTGAGAAAATCCCAAAATTATTGTGGCGCACGTCGAGGCCTTGGCTTTAATTCGAGTTTGATTTAAAGCGACAACAAACTGCTGAAGTGACTCATTCCGGGAAAACGTACGTCACAGCCACCACGGGGATTATGTAATTTTTGGCCTCTTGCCTCACAGACAATTATTACTTTTACTGCAAACCTGGTTTTTGGAAACGCCCACGTTTAAAGTCAAGGGCGAAATGTGAACAAACCATGCGGAGGAGCCTGCATTTGGTTTTTGCATTCTCTGCAATTTCCTGTGGTGGCAATTGTGGGGCAACTGGGGAAATTCCCCCAGCTGGCTGCCACAAAAATCAAAACAACAGGCAGCATTACTGTGGGTTTTCCCCGTTGCCCCACTCGCACGATTTCCCGATTTTCGCTGGTCAGAAGAGGCACGAACTGCCACTGTGGAGGCCGCAAACAGAAGCCCGTCGGCGGAAATTGTTTCCGTCAGTTCGAGGGGGTTTGTTAACAGGGGGCGTGGCCAGGGTTTGTTCCTGTGGTTGGGGACGCATCTGTTCGGTCGGACAAGTTGGTCCTACCACGTAATTGAATCATCTACTTGGGCAGTCCTTTGAGGGATTAGGCCAGTGGGAATATCACCATCAAATACAAATAGAATGAACATTCCGAATGTATGTAAATCACTCGCCAGGGAGCAAAATCAGAAACACAAGTACTAAGCCAAATATGTGCAATCACTTGGTTGGCAAAAAAAAAAAAAAGAAAGAAATTTTATTCATCCGCATGCAGGGATTTTTCACTTGGCTAAATGGGCTGACCACACTTTTCTCTAAATAAAGTTATTTATTTTTAAGGCATATCATGAACTATGTACTATATGCAGTACATATTTTACTCGTATAAGTTCCCAGAAAAAGACTTTAAAATCGCTTCCTAGAATTTCATTGTAATTACTCTTTAAAAAGTTTATTCACTAAAACTGCTGATTTTTCCCTGGTTGAACTGCCAAAGAGGAGCATTTTATAGTTAAATTCATAATGTGAAAGTAAAAGAAAGAAAGAAAAGTAATATTTGTTGAAATTTTAATAAATGGGCGAAAAGCTAAGTCAGCTGAGGGCCTACTTTGTGCCCAAACAGATAAATTTAAAATCAGTCAATCTTACGAAAATATATTAATAACTTACTGCTTTGAAATAACTTCTATTTTTAATTCATTATTGAGTAACTCTATCTTAAAATTAACTTCTTACCAGAAGTATTACCAAAATTGGATCAAAATATAGCTTAAGCGTATTTTCTTCTTAGGCAAATAATGCAAGAAAAACTGTTTAATGGGTTAAATCAGCCAGCAAAAAGTAAATTTTATGTAAATAAATATTATGAGCTCCCTAAATAAGATTGAACTTCCGAATATTTTATTGACGAAAAACAAATTGCGGAAAATGAAATTTTTGAATATGAATATGCTAATGTAATGTCAGCGAAAGTAAAAAGAAATCTGTGGCTTTTCGATTATAAAGTAAAGGTGTAAACATACAAATAGAGGACAAAACAGAACTACATAAGAAAATGATTTATAGTTAATAAAATATTTCAGAAATAACTTTAAATCATTACATTTAATGATTACTAAATAAGCAGCTAGTACAAGACACAATATTCTGTCTCTAAACTTCCTTAAAAAAGGCAAATGCAAATCAACGAATACACTTACCTTGAATGTTTGCTTATAATTAAGTTTCTTGTTTCTCAAAGTCTGGCAGAGATTTCTGTGTAATGCAAATATTTGCATTGAATCTGAAAAGGTGTTTCCAAGCTGGTGTCGCCAGACAAGCTGTTCCTTATTGTCGTCAATTTAGATCCAGAATACGCTGATGAAGCCATGTTCCTTGTTTCCTTGTTCCTCCTTCCAATCGAGCTCAAAATCTTACATTTGTTCTTAAAGACAAAGCTTATGGCAACCCGTTGAAAGTTAAATTCCAATCGTTCAGTGGTACAACATAATTTTATTGATTATTTAGGACATTGAACAACGCTCGCTGACTAATCGCACATAACATAACAACAGAATAAATATTTAAAAATAGACGGGTTAAGTTTAAACATAGAAGTCGTAGGCTAGAAATAAATACTTAAAGAAATTCCTCTAAATGGCTAAAAATAACAGCATCATCCAGTAATTGGTGCTCGCGCTAATTAAACTACGAAACAAAGTTTCCTATTTACAGCATATTAATGAAGCCCCCACCTCAGCCCCCGCCCCAGCCAAACCCCATTCCCACCCTCCGCTGACAGCTGCCGTCTAACGAACTTTTATATATGGCTAGGCTATCCTATCTAAAGTACGATTTGCATAATTACACCGCCCATCCCCAGAGGGCCAACCAGCCTTCCAGCTATCCAGTCAGACGGACTTTCGACGTGACTCCCACGAACTTTACTGTCATCGCGACCCCGCCCTAAAGCATCCTCCGTGACTTTGCGACCCCCAACTCCGTCTACGCCAGCTTGCGGGCCTGAACCAGTTTGTTGATGTCGTTGTAGGTGGACAGCATGGCCGGGTTCTCGAAGTCCTTCAGCTCCTTGCACTTGGCGAAGGTCTCGTCGCAGTCGATGCCATCCTGGCCGTCCTTTGCCGCCCGCATGTACTTGAAGAACCGCAGGATGTCCGGGTTGTCGGAAGTTGGCTTACGCAGCTCGTTCAGCTCCCTGAAAAATATAAATAAGCAAAATACAAATAAGTACATGGGATTTCAATTGGGCAATTCGATTTGAAAGTATAAAAAAGTAATTTTAACTCGTCGTGGGAAATCCTTTCTATTAATCTTTCAATACAGAAATGGCTCCAAGGCCACTCTAATTTGAAAATGGTATTCCAAAAGTCAATAAATACCCTACAGTATTCACTGAACTGCGATTAATTATGGCATACTTTCAGGCGGAAAGCTAACTCACCTGCTCAATTGGGCGGAGACGAGGTTGCTGTAGGGAGCATACTTTGCGGGGTTGGCATACATCAGACAGATGAGTTTCTCACGGCAAGCCTCGTTCTCCGGATTCAGTTTAAGCTGGGCAAAGACCGAATCCAGTCGGGATAAAAGTGGACTGTAGAAGGGATCATAGTTGGAGAGCAAAAGCGATGAGCTGGGCACCTTTTGAAAGCTCTGGAACGTGTTCATCACCGCCGGCGTGGGCTTCTTTGTCATTCCCGGAGCACCACCACCAGCACCTGCACTGAATGATCCAGACATACTCTGGGAATTCTTAAAGGAAGCAGCTCCAATGCTCTGCAGGGCACTAAGATAAGTATCCTGCATCATCTGCTGACCTCCGTAACGCGAAAGAGTGGCCTGATTCACCGAATTACCATTGACCTGGGCGTATTGCGCCTGCTGCTGAGATGCCTCTGCAAAGGTAAGCAAAACACATAATCAAAATCTTCAAAAGAAAAACATCCTTTTTTGAGCTAGCCAACCTGCATTGTACTCGTAGCCAGCTGGAGTTTTGCCCTCGTCAGCCAAGGAAAACTTGCTGTCGTCATCGAAGTTCATGCTGTTGTCCCGGAAGTCCAGTTCCTGCGGCGGTTCCATGGGGCGGATGAACAACGGCACCGAGCCAGCTGAACCGGATGTGATGCCTGGCCCAAAATGAATAACAAATATTTAAATTTATTCAAGTCCTCTAAGCTGAAGTAGTTACCCTTGCCAATCAGTCGGCTTACACTGCTGATGATGGTCGGCAGGAACATGGCGAAAAGCACGCTCTTTAGAACTTGAAGACCCATGTAGATGGGCCACATTACCTTCTTTAATCCTAGAAGGGAAAGAATGGATATCACTTATTTTAAATGCATATTTGTAATCATCAAAAAATATCCACTTCAGTCCATTTTCAAGTGTACTTAAATAAATAACTTCTTGAAATTTGATGCCTGGTTAGCAAACTTGGGATTGAGTTCTTAGGAAAGGTTTTAGGTGGGACGTATATGATTTGCCTTTTGATTTTTGGTTTGGTTTGACTTAGAACTTCACGTTGAAGAGTGGTGGATGCAAATTTAATTTCTCTAATTTGATTTGAAGTTTAGATCAATAGAAACTGAATAGGGATTTTGCACAGAACTTCTGCAATTTTTTGGTATAGCAAAAGGAACATAGCTTTCAGCTTAATGGGCAATAAATTACGTTGGGAACTTTAATGGCCACCTTATGAAAATTTTAATAACTTTCACGCATATTGATTCAAGGGCATAGTAAATGACTTCACTTACCACTAAAGAAAAGCAGACGTGCACTCTCAAAAGCTCTTGGAACATTCAGCTCCACATTGGTGTCCTCCAATATGCTGCGTGTACTGCGCCTACCAGCTTCCGCGTGTGGATGTGAATGGTTCTGTTGAAGGGCAAAAACCAAGCCAGGAGTGGGTTCGTATTTTCCCTGACTAAAGAACTGCTCCACATATTCCGTCAGCAGATCTTCAAGGCCCTTTAACTCCGCATCGATTGAGGCAGCGGTTGCGTTAATCGCGTTGACTGATGGACCCTTAGGCTTCTCCACTTTCTGTGGTGAATCCGACTGATGCTTAAAGTTCCTGCGGCTCATGGCCACTGTCAGGCGAAGATCACTCTCACTTTCCGCCGGCTGGAACACTCTGTACTGGCCCGACTTGGTGAAGACATTGCGCGAGATAAACTCCGGACTGATGTCGATGGGCAGGATGGGCCGGAAGGTGTCATCATTGCGCGGCTGACCTGCCATCGTGGTGAGGGGCTGACTGTAAGGGACTCCGGACTCCGAAACATCTGCTGATATCATCGCCAATTTGCAGAACAGGATAATTCCATAGAGCAGTGGACTGCACCGTCGCTTTCTGTGGCTGTTTGCTTTTAATTTCGCTCCGTCGATGTCCTGACTCCCCATTTTCATTATCCTTCGCCTTGCAGCTGCACTCGCATACCAAGGTTCTCCGTTCGATTCGATTCAGTTTTCTGTAATGAACAAATGTGCCGTTCAGAGGGGATTTTCTTGTTTAATGCGATAGAGTTGTGGCCAATTTCCGCGAACTCAGCGCGGTTGGTACACGAATAAATAACTTTTTTGGAACGTGACAGGCAACTGAAAAAATGGCAACCTGATAAGCGCATTACGTGAGTCCTTGAATGAATACAGGTACAAGAAGACTTCGTATACAGTCGAAAAACATTGTGATTTTTATTTGCGCAAATCTATATTTTAGCCCTTGAGTAAAGCTTAAAGGTTAATCATTAATTAAAGGTACTACGAATGAGCTTACAATTGGCATGAGCCAGAATCATAAGGTTACATATTGTAAAATGTGTTCCTGTTAATCATAAATAACTTGTTAGATGTGATAAATAAAACCCTTAACCACGGTTCATTTTGTATCTTCCAGTCTTGAAGTGCACTTCAATTTACCATTTTGGATTGATTTTGATGAATTGAATTTCCATTTGCGTGATGTGCATTATAATGGCTGACTTAGATATCATTAATTATGTTTTCTTTTAGTTTAAGAGTATTTTGCTAGCATAGTTATAAACGAACAGGAATTCCAGTGCTAGCCAGAATATGTACATAAAAAATAATAATATTTCTATCTTGCTTAATATGTAGGGCTAAACTCTTGCAAATAAAAATGTTAATTAAGAAATGTAACATTGAGATTTATCAAAAAGTAACAGCACAGGAAATGCTTACAACCTTTCTTTAAAATATAAGCTATATTTCTTATTATACTCGTATTAAAATGTTTTAAACGTTCACTTTTAAGGCGAGTAGCTTATCGTGTAAAAAGATAATGAGCAAATATAATCGATTTAAGTGCCTTATTACCTTTAAGACATTTTCAGACAAATATTTGTTTTAGTTTCTGTTCGCTAACTCGTCGGGTTAATACAATTTATTCAATAATTACCCTTTCCCCGAATTATTTCCACAATTTTCTCGTTTCGTGCGTGAATTTCAGCTAATTTTGTAAATCTTTTTTTGCTAAAGCGAGAGGTAATCAGCAGAGGTAATTCGAGTTTGTTGAGCCCATCAAATAAATGCCTACCTTTTCCAAATTTTTCAGGCCAAAGCTTATATAATTCATAGTTGTAATGGGATTACGCTCACAGTTGGTTTACAAATAATTGCAAAATGTAAAGTTTTTCGAATTTTCTATCCCCAAAGGAAATTGTTCACTATAACGAGTGGTCCATTTAATAATTTACCCGATTTCAGGCTAATTTTGTGCAGTTACAAACATTACAATGAGAAATATTTTTATATGATTGTTAGGTATGTAATTTTGACTATTTAAATTGAATACAATCATAAAATGTGTCTAAAAAATATTTCTCGTAGTGCAATTTAAACAATGTTGTTTGTTTCTAGGCCTGGACGCTAATCAGGCCTGGTAATGTGAATGATTTGCTGTTTCCCACTTGATGGGCATCTCAATTGTAGAGGCTCGTGCCCAACACCAGCCACACCCCCACTGCCCCCTCTTAAAACTGCCTCTCTTCAGCACACAAAGCACGTCGCCAACTTTTTATTTGCCTTTGCCATTCGTCGCACTCGTTTTGTGACACGCCATCCAGCATACGCCATATTCCGTACACGCCCGCTCCACACTTTGGGGCTGTGGGGTCCGGAGAGCTCCTCTGCTCCACGGGGAAAAAGTGAAAATGTACACTGTTTTGTTTGTGTTTACCCAGCACAGCGCTTCGAATGCGTTGGAAATGCCTTCAGACTCAGACTTCGGACTCCAGCCCAGATCACGTTATTTTCGTGTTGCATTTTCACTTTCGATTTTCCACGGCAAGAAGCACGGGCATGGGCACTAGCACTGGAAATGGAAGTGGCAGTGGCAGTGGCATGAAAAACTATTACAGAACTGAGTTTGCTGGCTGTAAAGCCGCAAATTACACCCAACAATTGCGCCTCACAAAGCGAATCAGCGAACTTCTTGTTCTCGACTTTATTTGTTTGCTCTGCCATCAAAGCTTAGAAGTTCCAGAGTCTGCCTTCTGGCGTCTGCAGTCGACTGTGCAGTAATGAGAAAACACATGTTGGCAGGTGGTAAGAATGCTCCCAGTTAATTATCCGCGCAGCGCTAATGTTTCCGGACTGGAAAACCAATGAGCAGGGGGTGATGTCACTCCAAATCGTGCAGGAAATGCCTGATTACTCTGACTATCACGTTGCACTAAAGCCTTCAGCAACAGATATCTGAAGTCAGCCAAAGTGAAGGAGAGGAAATTTGAAATTTAAGGATGTGCACTTGCTGGCAATGACTGACAGTGAAAATATTCTCGCGACAGACTCATATAAATCCAGTACTTTCACAATTACTTTAATTTAAAGGAAGCGAATGAATCAGCCTTAAAAGTTCTATAAAATTTTACAACGCCCACACAAATTATCAAATAATGTGTGCAAAAATCAAAACAACATACAAAATGTAAGCCTTTTTATATAATATTCTTAGAAACGTAAAAAGTATAAAGCCAACTTGGGCTAATTGTTAAAGGTAATTGGAATATCTGTAAAAATTATTTCCATAAAAAATTAAACTGCCGGTTAATGCAAAAAGTCCACACTTTAATATATAATATTGTGACCCAGTTAAATATTTATATTTGCTTGTGAGCTTGCACTTTTAAGCGTCTTTAGTGAATCGCATTCAATAGAAGCAGTTTTTAAGCCCCACTGACTGATTGAAAATAGTTTCTCGTCGGAACTCTTGAAATGGGAAACTTCCCATGGCATGCAGTGGTTTTTTGTTTGTTTGTTTTTGAGCCTCGAGACCGCTCAACTCGCTTTGTTCGGGCATCAAGATGCATCTGGGGATTGGAGGAGACAGTAAGCTAATGCAGAGCGCTAATGGAAACATTAAGATCATTGCCAGCCCATTAGGGGCCATCATTTCTGAGTTTGCTCTTTTTGTCGGGCGATGAGTATTCCCCGATGTGGCTGTCTAAATATCTCATCAAAAAGTATCGCCAGACGATTTAAGCTTTGAACTCCCCCGATGGTAGGACCAACACTTTGGCTGCATTAATTATTCAGAGAGTGAACGCTTTTGGGTCATGGCAATGGCATCATGCAAATTAGTTTTTTAACATTACAATTAGAACTTCCATCAACCCTTTGGGCCCCGCCTCCCTTTGGCAAGACTTGGTTATGGTTTGTGCTCGGTCTACCTTCATGCTCTGATATGCCGCTCTGATATAGTTAAGGCAAACTTTTCGCAGAGGCGGCGTTTAATCAGATTTCTGCCTCCCTGCTTTTACCATATTATTCCGTTCTGTATTCTGTTCTCCGTGCTGCGGCGCTCATCCGAGGCGAAGTTTCCCAATTAAGTCACAAAAGTTTCCTGGGTTCTGATCTAATGGAAACCGATGTCTCGGCCGCACATGCTCCATATTTCCATGGGCTGCTTTAACTATAACTATAAGTGGAGGGTCATGGGGCTAATAAGCTGGCTATCATTGTTTGCGACACGCCCGTCCAACGACTCTTAAAAACCGTGGAGCCACAAAGTACAAAACTCAGACGATGAGCAACCAGTTTGGCAGAAGAGCTGGTTGACAAACGGCGTCCAGTAACGGTCGAACATGGTCGTAAACGCACTGCATCGTAACTGTTAGTGTGTGACATAACTGTTAAGTCCAACAAAGGCCGAGAACAAGTTGGCCCAGACCACAGGTTGGCCGGCAACCAAGGAGAGCCATTTGGCCATCTGTTGTGGTCGGATTTCAGGTGCATTGTGAATTCACCCACAGATAAAGTCTGGCTCTGTCGGACAAATGGGGAATTATTGTTGAGAAGGTCAACTTTCTGTGGTAGCTAATAATTTCAGGTCAAACTTGATTCCATGTCTCCCATTCATTTTTACTACAGAGCTCTTTTTCCAAAGAAAGTCAATTTGAGAGAGATATTTAAAGGCCATCAGAGGAAAATAAGGAAAAACCACAAGAACAGCTTACCCTCAAGGGCATTTAATATTGTTTTTTATTTGTAAGAAACTAAAGCAATTAAAATTTGATTTCTTTCAAGGTGTCTTTTCTTATTTTCAAGGTACAATAAGTCAAAGCAAAGCTATGATTATCTTTGGATTTTGCTTTAGTTAAGGGGCTTAAATTAAAGATGAAAGACCGAAACTATAGTAGTTAATGGGAGTTTATAAAGGTGGTTAAAGTAAGCTGTCATCAGGCTTATAATGACAATAAGTTATTCATAGGCATATATGTATGTTCTTAGGCCTTTTATAAATCCGTCAAATTTTTGGCAGCTTCCCAGTCTTAGAATAACCTTTCTCCAAATGACTTCTTGATAAAGCCGGAGCGATAAAAACCTGAATACTAAATTGATTGAGTGCGAAACCTTCGTCACTCTGTAGTCTTTGGCAGCTTTGAGCTGAACATTAAGTCACATACGATAAAAATTGTCTGACAAATCTTGAATGGCTTCAACTGGCTGTTTTCTCGGCTTAACTGGTCTTACTCGAAAGCGGAATAATGGTTGCTACGTGAGGAACTTGGCTCAGACCTTTTCGGAATGGCTCAAATCGATTCCGGGGAGGACTTTCGGTTTCAGCTGAAACCACCTGGCAACCCGGCCACCCCACAATGCAATCTTGGTTTTCGCCAATTAGCCGCCAATTTGGGCGCGATGTTAGCAGGCCATTAGGCGCTGATTGTTTTATGGGGCGTTTCCCACTCGCATCCACTGATTTACATGCGTGCCCAGCACCTAGGTGGTGTTTCTATTTGACTGCTATTTGAATGGCATTCGACTGCTGTTCCGCTGGGCTTTAGAAAGTCGACTGCCATTTATGTCATTAAGTCAGTGCTGTAAGCCCAAATTAAATTCACTCGCAGTCCGCGAGTGATGCAATCGCTGCTTTCTGTAAACTTACTCAAATGACATTTAATTCAGCGCCAATTCGAGCCGAATTCAAGTGCCCGTGAAACCATTTTGACATGCCCATCTTGCGAGGATGTGGAGCGAGAGCACTTCCATATGGAAAATAAGTGTGAATGCGGTCTGCATCTGCAGCTGTCGGATGATATGAGTGCTCTCGACAAGAAAGTTGCTTCTCCACTGAGCGATGTTTAAAAGCTGGCAAAATGAAAGTGCGAGTCGGGCGGATGGCTCGCCACTGGGAAAACACTCGTGACTCACTAGGATGTGCCACTGCCACTGGGGCTTCCTCTCTGCCCCTGAATCCAGCCCACATGCATTTCACTAAGCTGAACCACTGCACCACTAACCACAATTCCACGGCTCACTGGAAATTAATATGTGCTCTGCAGTCCGATTAAAGGCAATGATAGCTGCACAGGGAAAAGTTTGAACACTTTTTTATGGCTCTATGATTATTCTATGTATATTTTGTTGGTTTGTTTTGATGAATGATAACTCCAAAAGGTATTTTCTGTTCTTGTCTTTTCTTCTGTGAAATTAAAAGGTGTGTGCCTAATAGAAATTGTTTTACAGAGAAGTAAACAAAAATAAAGATGAAATGGCAGATACAAAGTCTATGCCATTTGTTAGCATATAAAAGAGAGATATTTTCACAATACCATCTTGATCCATACATATCAAGCAAAACCCTATAATTTTTCGCTGTGTGACTCACTCCTCCGCTCGTATCATTTTCATAATTTTGCAGTTGATCGACTGAGACGAGGGCTTTCTTCGACGCATTTTTACGCGCTGTGAGCCGAAAAAAGAAAGTATCGTTAAACATTTGGCGACGCTTCGATTGCCGGCCGAGTTGAGCAGATGATTCCCTTTTGGCCAGTTGGGGTAGGCCATCTGCTCGTCTTACGTAACGTCTCTCAACAATTAATTACGGAGATTGTGGAGCTTTTCTATTAAGTTAGCGGCCACACAGTGTGAGACTCTTAGATTCGGAGATACAAATGCGGTTGGACAGTGAAATGAATGGCTTGAAACAGCCGCAACAGTGTCGACAGGGAAATGTTAACAATCGGTTTCTTTTCTGTCTTGTCGGTGGCAACAACCTTCTCCCTAGCCCTGGCTATAATTTATTAATTGTCCGAATCGAGACTCGTGAATAAAGATTGCACGGAGGATCTCCGAGGTGATTAATGGTGCAACTCACATGCGGTCATCAATTACAACTCAATTTACCTTCTCGCACTCTGGCCGCGTATTTCCTCCAGGAGTTGCTGGTTTACTCAATTGTTTCGAAATTGGATTTTTGCATTCGACGGTGGAGAGAAGAACTTTCTTCGACAGACTTTCGTTTCTGTGTGTTTCGAAATCGGAATTGCATTCACTTCACCGCTTTGCGTCGGCTCTCCGATTTGGCCTGGTGAAAATACTGGCCGAAACCCGTTCACTCACTTTGCTCACTTCCTTTGTCAATGCAATTGCCAAACCTCGTTTCACCTTAACTTCACTTTAATCCACTGGACACTCTGCACTCAAAGCCAGTACAAACAATGGCTAAAACTGCTAACTAGTGCAGCACACGCCACTGATATGCTGTATTTTGGCAGTTATTATAATCAATGCGTTACTGGGATCGCGTACCAGTTTTTCTCGGATTTCTCGCGCGCTTGCGTCTGCCTTTGAGCTCGCGAAGATTTGGACTGCCGGGCGAAAGCCAAACGGCGGGTGCCATCAACCAGTTTCGAGACTTACGTAGTGCTACGTGAGCGGATTGAGTATTTTACGTGGCGAAGAGCGGCTTAAGAGCGCCGCTTGGCAAGACTTTAAGCCGGGCCAAGAGTTGAAGGCAACAGCTGGCGGCAAAGACGATTGTCAAAGCCGAGCAGTACACAGGGAAAAATGGGAATCTTTCGATGAAAGATAATCCTTAAAAGCTAGCTTATATAATAACTTTAAATAATTTTACTTAGAAAAACAGGTATTTCGTTAATTTTCTACTGACCGTTTAAAGTGAAACTTACCATATTGCGTGGATCTATCTCAAAAATCATTAAGTTGATAGTACCATAAATCTTCACTTTAAAATTTACCAAACTGTTAATTTTTATAGATTATATACAAGTAGGTATATAGGTATAGGAGATTACAATCTATAACGTCTACCAATTCAAACGACAAAATATTAAATAAATGTTCCCAGTGTATAGCTGCATCCGTGGGCCGTCCATTTTCTCCTGCACACGGGAAATTAGTCGCTAATGAAAATGGCTATTCTCTGGACAGCTCACAAAACCCTGTCGCCGTGAAATTGCATGTCAATTTTGCATGTGGATATGTATGAATAATATGAAGCGCTGGAAATATGTCAAGTCATGGCGCAAACTGAGCGTCACCAAATGCTAACGGAAAGCGGTCACTTAGTCAGTCAGTCGCTGGTTTAGTCAAACTTTCGATTTTGTTTGCACCAAGAGGGAAGCTGTGGGACCTCTGTGGAAAAAACTTGGCCAAGAGTTACTGCAAACTTTATTTAATTTGTTACAATTTGTTTCTTTTTGTGTTTTTCCCCGCCAGAAGCGGTTAAACTTTTGAAATACTGAGCTTCCCCACGCAATTTTCACCCGATTAAAAATAATTAATATTGCAAATTGCTGTCAAAGTGTGGATTTCGGAATTTAATAACAGTAGTAGAGAGGTTTAGGGATATTGAAAAGCAATTATTTAAGTATTGCTCTTTCATGGCTAATATTTAGGAGCTAAAAACAATTTTAATCATCAAAAACGTTGTCAAAGAAGTTTCCCTCATTATTTTAAGGAAAATCCAATAGTTTACTTCTAAATTAAACAGTTTGATAAATAACTCAGACTAGGACACTCATTCCTAACAAACTCCCACTACCTGAACAGAACAAGTAACAACGTGTGCTCATTATGCAAGATCTCCCAGATTGATATTCATCTCATTATTTGTTCTTGCCCCTTCCTCTCCGACAAAACCCTGATCCAATCAGCGTCATAGCGAGCCCCACAGATACAAACTTCCTAAACATCCTCAAGTTCCTGGACAGTTCCCATATCACCTCCCAAAGTTAATTAAATCACTTTTTTCTGTAAATAAAATGTAAATAGCAAACCAAAGTAATATCTTGTATATACTCTTAAGTTAATCATGTACATGCCATTTTTTAATTTTAGTCGACATGCTATTGCTCCTATCCGTTTTGTTAGCTTTAGTTTTACCTAATTGTTAGCCTAAGATAAGTAAATAAATAAACTAAAAATGTTATAAATTTTTAAAATTAATACTGATACAAAATTTGCTTCAAATTTAAAGCCAATTTATGGGGATAAAACTTGGCAGACAAATCAGAGCTACACTTTTCAAGATTTTGTTTGCCAGAGTTTTAGTTGCAAACTTTTTAGTTTTCTTTATTGGTAGCCAAAGTGTAATGGATTTGTGGGTTTCTGGGCTCAAACCAATCATGCTTTGCTGATTTTGAAACTAAATAAGCCCCCAGGACAATCCTTTCTCGTTTCAGTATGAGAAAGCCTTTTTGTAGACCCAATAAAATACATATGTTTCCTGGAAACATACTCTCTCTGTGTAAAATGCACATGTTGTCGTCGAGGGGATTAGAGGATTAGGGATTCCGAGCACAGTACAATGGGAAAATGCATTTGTGCACATCTGCAGAGCATTTTCGATTTCTATAAATATTTAAACTGGACTAGTTTAGCAGCGTAAAGTGTAAGCAGATTTTCACTTATTTATAAGTGTACATCGTTTGATCTGTAAACGGGTTTCGTTGGCCGGTTTACGCATGAGAAAGTCGTCGTTTAGAATTGGCCAACTGAGCGTCACATTGTTATTAATTTCTGGTGACAAACTTTGCCATTGACTTGTGGCTAACGAGCGGAAACACCCCACACCCTCGACCATCGTACGACTAGAGCCCCGAACCACTGAACCACTGAGAAGCTCAAAAGCCAAAACGAAATGAAAGCCAGTTTATGAGACCGCAAAATCAATAACCACTCTCAATGTAACAATGGTCCGAGCAATGTTTTCTAAAAGCCCAACGCAAATCGGGGCCAACTTCTTGCCCAGACAAAGGCCGAACAATTGGCGAACTCCCATTTCGGCCATCCCCATGTGAAAGTGCTCGCAGCGGATTCATTTAGCACCTATTAAAGAGCCGCCAAAGATGTCAAAGAAAGCCTCCGACATCCTCCATCATTTCCCACTGACACACTGACATGTGTCCAACAGCAGCGAGATGCAAAGATTTAAGTGCCTTGAACCCATCGAACACATATAGTATTACATTTCAGTCTGAATCTGAATTTTGGAAATTGGTATGCGAAGAGGGTCTTGGACTCGCCGCAAATATTTGCGAACCTTTGCTTTGAATTTTATTCCAATCATTAATTTCACTTTTACTCATAAATATGCTAATTGGCAGCTCACGCCGGTTCCGAGCAAATCCATCGCATCGATTTGTGAAATGGGAATACACTCGCACCCAGAATGGTTTTGTTAGCATTGCGCAATCTGCATGAGAAGAAAGTGAGATGGGTTTCCGTAATCATCGGATCGCGGCGTTGGCCCAGGGGAATGGGAAGGTGCGGAGCCGACTGAGTGTGACAAAAAGTAAAATAAACACTTTCACAAGCCGCAAGTGCATGAGCCCCATGGGGCCGTGTTCAGCCGTCAAAACAAACGGTCAACTGACCGTTGACAGTTTTACAGCAGCCAGAAGCAGGTGAGCCGCTCCTCTCCCATCGCATCACGCATTCCCAAAGAAATTTTTAATTAGTTTATTTTATTTCTGTTTCATTTTTAACGCTGCCTGGTGGGAACATTTCACTTTTCCGTGCCATTCATAATTCACTCGCCACCGGTCACGTTTGAGTCACACGTCAACGAACTGTGAACTGTAAACCGAGCTGCGAATTAGAGGAGTTGGTGACTGACCTTTCGCCCACGACACTCTGTGTAGGCCTTAATTGAAATGTAATCATACACTAATTCAGCCTACCTTACGAAATATGCGGCCTAATGAGTTTATTATTAGTAGCTAACCACTGGCCACCCTAATTGGGGTGCTCAATTAAATTTCAACGGTTTTGTTTTGTTTCTTCCTTCAAACATTTTTAAAAGTAGAATTTTATTATTTCTACTTAAATTATGTATACTATATCTATTGAGGTTCTGGTTCTCAAAACTTCCTCATGACATTGACAACCAGTTCGTATGCTTATGGGCTATTTTTATGGGTCGTAGGTTTTTATGCCGCTGCTGCTTGAGTGTCTCGAACCCACAAAAGTGTCAAAGGTTAAGTGTTGGGCGGGTCAGCTGCTGTTTATGGTTGTGGTTGTTAAGCTGGAAAGCACAGTGTCCCTTTTTTCAGCTCACACTTAAGGAATATTCTGTTTTGCTGAAAATTTTGTAAAGGCAACTTTAACTTTCTCACAATTACTTTGCAGCTTAATATTGTTCCTTTAAGGTGATCCGACTGTACTTTAACTTACTTACCAGTATTTTACTGCATAATATTATGATAGCCTTAAAAGATCACTGCACTTATTAGAGGAAACACTCTAGCCTTCCAGTGTTTTTAATTGTTTTAAAGAGAAAAAAAGGAGAATTTTCTAGAAAATGAACTTCCCACACTCTTTGTAAGTTAAGAGGCATCTCCAATTGGCACTTCCAGCGATACCTTATAACAAACTCTATCCAGTGAAACATCTCCAATATGCAGGACTTGTAAACAACATTTATTAAAATATTTTGCTGTGTTTGCCACTGACAGGCATTGAAACAGTTTTTCTGAGGATGTTTTAAAGTTGCTGACATTTATTTTAAAGTTTACTTTACAACTATGGACTATAAATTAAATTCACTTTCTATTCGTGAACATTTAAGTTACCCTAACATTAGATAATAGCAAACAGAACATCAATAATGGCTAAATCTAAGCTTAGATGATAACAAGAAATAGCTATGAGAAAACGAAAGTATTTGCTAGGAACTGTTTGAAGATAACTTATTTGAGGTCTTAGGCGTATTCGACTTATCAAATACCCGAAATCCAATTGGGGGCTCAATCAATTACTTTCCGGATACGAAAGTGATCAAACCTTAGACTTAGTCCGACTCGGATGATGGATGCGATGAGATGCTCGTTTAGGAATAGATTACAGGCTTCTAGATTGATACTCGTGTGTGTGTGTGTCTTAACTTAAGTGTAACTCAGCTTGGCTTTGGATCACTGGACAATATGTGTTTTTTCTGTAACTCTAAGAGCGAATTGGAAGTCGCATCACTCGAACGCCGCTCCAGCCGCCCGCTGCTCCAGGATTGATTGCCAATTTAGTACTGTTCCAAACTGAAAATGTGTCACAAAAAGCTGGGTCATAATCGATGGCTGCTCAAAGCAAATAATGTCACAACATGGCAACGACAAGAGTTACAGCTCGTCAAGGCAACGATAAAAAGAATAGTGGAGCGCATGCATACACTGAGAAAAAAGCGAAAATCATATTCAACCGAGAAACAATCGTGTTCGAGTCAGAAAAGAGCGAATTTGTAAAATACGAAAAAGGATACCAGTATTTCAATAGTCAAAGGGTTATCAAGATTGTATTAAAAACTTGAAATTAAGTAAAGTTGTAAGTTTAATTTGTAAATGTTGGTAGAAAAATGGCTTAGTTAGTAAATAATAAATTTTAATTAATTTTCTAATAATAAGGTAAACCAAAATACAAAATATATTTATATAAAACTATTATGTTAAATGGCATTAAGTTTGTTAAAAATAATAATTAATTTTACATGTATATATTAACGAGAAAATAATATAATTTTTAGTGAGAGGTATAACTGGTTATATGTTAGATTACAAACTTATTTTGGAATGATTATTTAAAAACACATATTTTAGTTATAGATTTAATAACTCCAAAAATTAATCCTGGTATTAATGGCTCTAAATATTGTAACTCAAGGAACTTATGTATAATAAATAAAAACAAAATCAAATACTGAATTTACTATCGATAAGAATTAGTATTAAAAATACTAAATACTAAAAAATACTGTTGTGGTAACTTGATAACTGGTTTTTTACCCATCATCATAGCTTTAAACTTAAAAAAATATGATGCCCTTATTTAAGACCTGAAGTAAAACGCTCTTAAGCAGATTTCCTCAACCTAAGATTACTAGTTTTCGCTCAGTGTGCTCTGGAAATGGCAGTTGCAGTTGGAACAAGTGAAACGTAAAGGGAGCAGCAGCGACGCTTGGAGCATGCAAATCCAATCAGCCCAAGGGCGTACAATATGTCATGCACGCGTGTGTTCTGCGAAGGTGGGCAGACTGGGGGTGGTCAGATGCAAGGGCATGCAGACCGGACCTTGAGGACCTTAAGGGCTACCCTGTGCTTTACCGCGGCATTAATTTGGTGACCTCCGAGGGCACGGGATTGTGGTCTGTGAGGGCTACCGACTCGGTAATGGCGCTGCGTAGTCCGCCCTCCTGGTGGCCGGTCATAAAGTCGGTGGCAGCCAGACCGCCATCACCGCCGACGGTACCACTCTGGGCCCCGCCCGGCCCCAGCAGCTTCAGTTCGCCCTTGGAGAGATCGGCGCCTAACTTGCGACGCCTTCGCGCCGCCGCCTGGACGTTGCAGCCTGTCGTATGACCGTTAAGAGCAACATTAGTGTCTGAGCAACGGCAGAGCAGTTCTTGAAATTCTTTACGGAAGTTGTCGTTGAGCCAGCCGTAGAGCAGTGGGTTGGAGCAGGCGGAGCTCATGCCGATCATGTGGCAGATGGCGTAGCGCACCAGCATACTCTGAGTGACCGGCGAGCGTTCCATGTCCGCATATAGATTGAAGAAGTTCAGCGGCAGCCAGGAAACTCCGAAGATGATGGCTATGCTGATCAGCAGGCAGTTGGTCCGCTTCATCCGCCGTCCGCGCTCCACCTTCCTCTGGGCGGAGGCTGCCTGCACGGCTACCACGGTGATGCGGCTCTTCAGCTTGTTGTAGATCCCGAAATAGGCCACCGAGACGATTAGGATCGGCACTAAGTACTGAACGCAAAGCGAGAAGATCGAATAGTAGAAGCGCCCGTTGCGACTAGGCCAATCTTCAATGCAGTACGGTATAGTGTCTTGCAGCCCGATCTGCTGAAGGAGCGCCGGCGTGTCGGTGTTGATTAGCTCCTTGTAGACGAACAGCGGCGAGGCCAGCAGGAGGGACAGTGCCCAGATCCCCGCCAGGATCGTCACTGCGCCCACGAACTGAAGACTGTCTCTCGTGGGGTAGACGATTACCTGGAATAAAAGTTAAGGGTGATTCAAGGATAACTCGGGGAATATGGCTCTAACATCCAGCAGCTAGGTTAGCCCAGTTATCATAGTTGCCCAACCTTGCCTGGGATTTTAAGATGTGTTTTGTAATATTTATTATTTACATTCTTTTAACTAACTAATTAAAACGTCTGAACGTTCACTCATTCCCTTTGAATGATATAATCTACTATCAGCCTTCTTATAATAATATTTATTCTGGGAGCAGCCCTATTATTTAATTATGTGTACTCCTATAATGAATAGCTAATAATCCTTCTGACCTCTATACATCATCCCTTTTAATAGTTCTTGTTTCGGCACCATTTATATTAATAACTATGGTCGTGGGTTAAGCATTCGTGTAATCGCCAAATATTTACTCAGAGCCCATCGATTTTCGCTCAACGTCCAATTTAATGGTTACAAATTGAAGCCATTCACCTCATTAATACCAGGACATGACTTTCCTCACTCGATTGGTCCCATTTGCATACTAATGTTGGCATTATAAATGGTTTGAACAAGGACTAACCTGATATCTGTCGAAGGCGATGGCCGTTATGGATATTGTCGACACGAAAATGCAAAGTGCCTGCAGCATGGCAATCGTTTTGCAAAGGATGGAGCAAGAGCCGTAGGGCCAGTACTTTGACAGGATCTCCATCAAGGTCAGGGGCATGGTGACCAGGCATAGAAGTAAATCTGAAATACCACTCAGATGAGAAACGTCTGTCCTCCGGCTGAGAGGCTTAGAGAGGGTAACTCACCCGATATGGCCAGGTTCAGTATGAAGAGATTGCGGGCAGTGCGCATGATGGGCTTCCGGACCACGGCTATGACCACAAGGGTGTTCCCCAGGGCGCCGAACACAATTAACACGCCGTACATGCTGATGAGCATGTGGTACCATGGGCTATCCACCGCCCTGTTGCTCAGGAACCTGTCGATGAGCACCGGATCCAGCGGCCTGCTCCCAGTCTCATTCATCTCCGAGGTATTTATGGCCGTTGTGTTGAGGGCGTGCACCATGCCCAAGTCCAGGTAGTCCAGAGGATGCCGGTCGTCCAGATACCGCACACTGTTGCTGCTGCTGGCATATCCACTCAGATGTTCCCCAGCCGCCAGAGGTCCCGGCTCCGTCTGGTTCATGCTGATTATCTGGCAAACAGAGAGGACAAGCACTGTCTCATTATTCCTCAAATCTGCTGCGAAAATATTCAATTGTCAGGGGGCCGGAGGAGGAATATGAAGGAAACTTTGCGCGCCACATCACGTATGATTTATGAGATTGGCTTGCAGCACACGCCACACATTTTAGTCAGCTGCGAAAGGCAAATTCTACTGGTTTATGGTTTACTGGCCTGAAATACGGGCCAATAATCGTATAAAAAGTTTGGTTCGGTGCCAGTAGGTGGCCCAGTACCAAATGATTCTATGAGCCTTAGACATGAATGAAGGTTCTGACGCCTCAGTCGTAGTCAGACACTGGGAGAAATTATTGATAGTTCTACTCAAAATTGCTTAAATTGACTTTCTACCTTTCATGTTAAAAGGATTGTCATTTATTTTTAATTTAAGTTCAGAATATTGTTGTATATATATTATTATTATTTTTATTCTAGCTCATTTGCCCTTTTCTTTATTAAGAAAAATATTTGACGCCTTTCATTTATCCGAGACCCTGCTCGTCCCCATCATGTCTTCTTAGTATCTACTTTTTCTTCAAGAACTAACATGATTAAGCTAAATGATTTCTAGAAAAACCCAAATGTGTTTGTCATTTAATAATTTCCGGCTATATACTATACTTTTATGCCCAAAATAAATTGTTTTAAAAAAAATATTCTTATGATATTCGAATTATTATTTAACATTTTCTTTATTTCATCTTAATTTATATTTTTCATTTGTGCTCACCTTAAATCTTGTAAAGACTCAACGCGTAAGTTTTAAAACAAAAATAATTACATGAAGTTTATTGATTAAAAGTACCAAAAGAAGAAAAGTCAATTAAATATAATCCATATAATTAATAGCATAAAAAAATATTTATTCCAGACCAATAATTTCATGAATGCATTTTGAGGTCTGCCGTACAAGACTGTATAATCATACTGCAGTTCTAGTAAAAAACCTTATCTTGATGGTAAGTCCGTTTTTCAGTGTGCCATTTTAATAATTGAGTTGAGATGTCAGAGCTTGATAAAAACTTGAAACGCCCTTGGTATTCGCCTTTTAATGCTCTTCTGAACACTGACAATGGCCTCGACTCGTGGGACTTGACTTGCAAATTATCTGCTACAGGATAACTTTCACAAGGAAAAATCGTTCGCTTTGTTTTAAAGTTTCGTTCGGTCTTTTTTTTTTTTGAAAAATGCCTTCCCATTCGGTGTCAATTTATGGAATATCTCTGTTGAAAATACTTCGTTGCCAGGGTCGAGTTAGTGGCTTGTTTTTGTTCAGCTCGTAAATATTCATGCATTACCCGGCGCCATAATTTATGCACAACATTATGGCGAGACATGCATTTAATTGGAAAAAGTCAAAAGTGCCGTTCTCTGGGAAATGTGCGCTTGATGGCTGGCATTTGCCACCAGAACAAGATATCCTGGTGTCGAGGGACAGCCGTCAGACAGAGGTACAGATACAGAAACAGATACAGATATAGGCAGGTTATAAATGACGACATTTGCTAAAAATAATTGTGTAATTTTATGCGCCGAATGGATGCGCACTTGTCAGTATCGATAAAAGCCGATGGCTCCGGCCGAAGGTGGGCGAAACAGACTTGTGGGGCGCCCAAAGGTATGCATTACCTCTGACAGCTGCGATAAATGAAGCGATAATAAATCTCTCCAATCGGAAGATTACCCTGCCATCCATCGGATGGCCGGAGAGGCGGAGTTGAAGACAAAGTTGCCATGGAAATTTAATTTCAAGTTAGCCGGCACTTAATTGACTAATATTTGCACTACCAACTCAAACATCGGAGCCCTAAATGGAAAACTCTGCCAACCGCAAACTGGTCAGTCTGTAAAATGGTTTGTGTGTATCAGTTGGGGATTCCCCTTCCGCCCAGGCGGAGACCTAATAAAAAGTTTTCTCCCCAAAAAGGAAAGGAGCAATGAAACAACGCCCGAAGTTGATCACCAATTTGTCGCAGAAGTTCCAATCACAGTCCAAGCACGAGTTCGATGAATTGGCTTGCAAGGTGGAAATTGAATTTTCATGTCTTTTTCCTCCTTTTTCCCAAGGCAAGGGAAAACCACTGCGCAGATGCTTTCCCGTTTCGGTTTGGGACGAAGAAATGGGAGTTGGTGTCGGGAGAATTATGTAAAGAAGCCTCAAGTTATCGGCAGTTGTCACAAATTTGGTATAATTCTTGGGATACAAGTGCCTCCAGCCTTTTCGCCTCACTGGATAAGTGGAGCGTGACAATGATTTTAAATGCCAGCCAGTTTTCGGGAAACTCGAACGGATTCCAGCCTGCTGGCGTTTTGACTCAGCTATTTTTGTGATTTATTTGCGACGGGTCTCTTGTTTCGCCCACAACAAGATGGATTTTATTGCCTCTTGTGCGATTTGTTTGCCCCAAATATTTCCTGGCTCCTTTCCTGGCTCCTTTCCTGGCTGATAAATTTATCAGTTGTATATTGTCTGCCCCGGGACATTTTCCTTATTAATTGAAGTCGATTTAGTTTGAACATAAAAGAGGTAAGAACCAGCTTGAATTGGCCTCATCTGTTCGGATGGTCAAGTCCAAATTGTTCTACTCGAAAGTGATGTGCTGTGCTTAAGCGGAGACATCTGGCCGAGTGCGAAACTGGGTTTCTTGGCAATTAATCATCTAAGCTAAGCTGCTTAAGGGCTAAACACAAATTCTCACCCATTTGAATGAGTTCTTTGCAATTTAATCACGCTCCTAGTGCCGTTTAACACTTCTTAAGTGTCAAAGAAAAGCCGCAGAGTGCTGGGTTCTCCTTGAGATAAAAATAGGAACCCATAACACTCATGCACATAGTATGTGCATAAAATCAGGCCCACGAAATGCTATGCGATTGTGTAACCCAGGACAGCAATTATTGCGTAAATTGATATGCTTTTGCTCGACTTTTAAGCCTTCTTCGAGTTTTTAAATTGCCCACAAGAAGAAGAGGGGCATTATTGTGAAATTTGTAAGGTTCCCACTCCAGCAAATTGGCATCAATCTGGCGGTGTATCCTGTAAATGTCAAAGAAATGGGGACTCAACCAGCCATATGGCCAACTCGGTTCCAGCCAGATTCCCCCCAAAGCAACTCGAACAAACTTTTTCATTTTAGGAACACAGTAATTTCGTTCCGTTTGACATCTACTCCGAAATGGCTTCTTGAGCTGGCTTTAAGTATTTATATTGCAATTACACTCACCATCGTTCTGCAATCTCCTCCGCCTTGGGGATATATATGCTGTATATTACGTAGTGTTGTATTGTTCTTCCTGGCCGTCGTTTGTTGTTTTTCCGTCTGCAAGTGACACGAGTGACTCTCCGTTTTTTTTTCGTTTTTCTGGCTGCTACGGCAGCAGATGCTCATTTAGTTTCCAATTTGAAATGCACTCATGGGACTTCACTGTTGTCTTTTCCGTCTTGAAATTATAAGAAATGAAAACATTTCAGCTAATGGATGTCTTGGTTGATGGGTCTGGATACATCTAGCTCTTAATCTCCGCAGCCAAGCTGCCTGTCAGCATAATCAACTTAATTAAAATGCTCTAAAATTCCCGAAATATACCGAAGTTGGGACACGTCTTAATCCCTAGTGCAGCAAACACACGCGCCTGAAGCCAAAAAGTTTTCACAAGATAGTTGCACTTTTTAAGTGCCTTTGGGTGTTCCAGTTTTTCATGCATCGCTATTCATAACTTTTGGAACATTTTCTGGCTCACTTCGAAGGATGTTTCTTCTCCGGTTAAGACATGCTCAGTTGAGCGTCAAACCCTTATGGCACTTCGGAGCTTAAATTGACTCGACAGTAACTTTAATCAAGTACTGCTTCATTTTCAGATTAAGCTGATTAAGGGATTAAATCCCTTGACATTTTGAAAGACTGCTTCATTTTCACATTGTTTTACACTAAATAAACCTCTGAGGTTTTTAGTATACAAAGTTTGGAAATCAATGTCATATTTATAACACCGAAATTGGTGGTTAGGAGTTAAAAAAAAACCTTTCGAATAATGATTATTATTTCATAATCATAAGAGAAAATTTAATGGATTTAATAGATTTATGAAAAAGCTAAAATCGACCGACTTAGTGCAAATCTTAAGAAGACGTTTTCTAAAGTAATGCACATTTTTTAACAGTTTAAAATAAAAGATCTTAAAAATAAGCAATCACAATAATCGTTTCTTATTTTCTTAGTCTTTACTTAACAGCTTTAAGACAAAATAAATGTTTAAAGTCACAACTCCTTAAAAAAGTTCCAAGTCGGTAAGCAATAAATTTATTCAACCAAAGCTCTGTCTGAATTAATTCTCATATATATTTGCGTTCCACGATTTATTTGGCCTCAGATGGTTAATTCCTCATGTCATTATATTAATAATTGCGCCCATATTCTTGTCAGTATTTTTTCTTTAATTCACGAAATATGGCGAGGATATATACGCCTGGAAATCTGCTTCATTATTCAGAGTCCATTAATAATGCCATTAAGTAAATTGCTTTTCGGTTGTATTTTGCGTTGGACTGCAGCACTCGTTTACATCTCATTACGCGCGATGCACATTCATTAGTTTTCCATCGAATGGAACTCAACCAAAGCCAAAACCTTCTCCCCCAGTTTCCTGAGTCCATCAACTGCCCTGTAGTTTCGTTAAATAACGATTTCTGCTCTTTGCCCACTCACGTCACTTGGCATTACAGACTGGGAAGATTTGTTCTCCCGGGAGACTCGCGCTGGAATAATATTTTCTTTCGATTAATTCACAACTTGCAGTTCAGATTCATTGGAGCGCTTTCGGAAAAATAATCATAATAAATTCCGACCGACAGCGGCGGAGCGTCCGGCAGGCAATTAGCGAATTTCCGCGGCCCACTTTCGGAGCAGGGTACAAAAAGCCGTAAATGTCGAGGTTCCGTGCGAAATCTTCACGCCTTCAGCTTTTTAATGACGGCACATTGCTGGGAAAACAAACACAAAACACTGCGTCGAGGGCATACCTCTCGGAATTTTGGATTCCATGTAGATTCAAAGAGTTTTTGGCTGCCTCAAAATTCTGAATAAATATTCAGCCGCATTTTGATTACTTAGAGTTTTCCACTCGTTTTTATTACAATAAGTTTAGGTGTTTAGTTTGGCTGTTTACTGATCTCCGATAACCACACGCGTGCACAGTCAGCGACCATCTGTTGGCTTTTGGTGCGCATCCGCCGCTTATATAGCCTCGTATCACACTATATATCCGCCTGATTCTGCCTTTCGGAGAAGAGCGCGTTGCGTATACGCCGCGTGGCACACAAGTGGCAACTGAAGGCGACGCATTCGGCCAACAGGCCGTGGGCCTTCGCTTCCTGCTTTGTTTTGGGTCTGGGCCATCAGCTGTGCGGAGCTTTCTTATCACTGAAGCTGGGGGTAGAAAAGCTTTGCACATTGGGCCAAGGGTTGCCACAAATTCGCACAGAGCTTCCACGATGTCTGCTTGGGGATTTGAATCACATAAAAGTCAGCCAACTGTAATCAGTCTAGTCTAAAGGCTATCGCACTTAATCATTCCCCGCCTAATATGACGCAAAAATGACGTAACAGTCTAATATGTATTTTAAAACAATTTTGTGCTTGCTGATAGCGTATCTTGTTAAGTGCCCTCCAAAAAGTAATATAGTGTATACACAATATCAGGACCCCTATCTAAATTGCGGGCTGTAAACTAACAACAATCGTATAATCAAACAAACAGAGCCCAAGGAAAATAATTATAAAATGTTTAAATAAATCTCTGAGATGTGATATAACAAGAAAAGTTTTATATTAGTATGTATTTTTGTTGTTCTTTATATTGCAGAATTACTTATGAATAAGTTGTAATAACCTACTGAAGATCCAAAAGGCCCTTGCTGTCGAGTATAGCTAATAGTTTGGTAGCACTTCTGATCACAGCTTCACTGGCATAAACGGATGTCTGATATCTCAGTCCTTCCTCAGTATCCTTATAAAGACTTGAGAAGTCCGATGTCCCTTCGGTGCCATTGTAAATCATACAAGGCTTGAACATGTGAGCCATCAGACCTAGGAAAAGATAATGATTAAAATCACGTGCTTCGCTGATAGATTAAGCTTTACTTACTCATGAACCGACGTCGTTCGAACTGGAGCTGATACTCCTGCAACGTGGGAAATGGGCCCTTGTACGAAAACTTTTCCAGGTTCGCTTTTAAGGCGTTGAAATGATGCTCAACAAGTTCCGATTCCTTGTCCCTGACTTCTTCCTTTAGAGAAGTGGTGAAGAAGTAGTGCAAGTCGATCGTTGGGGAGGTGCAGTTACTGAATTGAAAGTCTATGGCCACCACTGTCTGGGGTTTCCCTGCATCGTCGTACTGGAACATGATGTTGGTGGTCCAGCAATCCCCGTGGTTCAATGTCTTTAAATCACTCTCCCCCACATCGTAGGCCCGAGCCCCATACTCCATGATGTGGGTACGCAATTTCTCCAGCTTTTCGCCATAGCTTTGCTTTAAGTTTGGTTGGCCATTTATGAACCTCAGGAAAGCCCTAAACAACCCCGTGAAGACTTCCTTATACGCCGTTTTATCCCGCGAAAAGAAGTGGGTGAAAAAGCAGTTGGTCAGCAGTTCCGGATGGCGTTCTTGCAGGATTATGGAAGCGGCATGGAACTTGGCCAACATTTCTAGAGTCAGTTTGCTGTGAGCCAGATCCAGCTGGCTAACTCGATCGGCATTCACAAACTTGTATGGAGCAAGATCCTCCAGAATCATAGTGCTGAACTCGCGGTCCACGGCTATGGCATCTGCAGTCATCTTTCCATCCAGGCCAGCCTCTTGCAGCAGTTCCTTCAACTTGGGAAGGATGAACTCATACATGTCCATCTCCCGGGTGTAGAGATCGTACTCGAAAAATACCTCTGCCTGGGGCACATCCTCTGGCAGTGCTTGCTTGACGATGAACGTTTTCTTCTCAACCAATCCATCGCCCAGCTGGTAGTCCACATAGATACGGGTCATAACGCCCACAAAGTTTTCACCTTTACCAGTCGCCGGCTTGGCCCAGATCTTGAGAACTTTCAACTGATCGTCCTTGCAGTAAGCCCTCAGCCTGGGCTGCAAATACTCCTCGGTTAACCATGTGGGTAGCATTGTTTACCTGATGCGCTCTTTCGAACTTCTGACGTCGAAGCCCCAGTGCTCACGCTTATATTGTGACGAAATGGGATCTTATCGAATCGCGAATATTATAAAGCTGCCGCGATAAGCTTTGTAACGCCGATTGCCGGCTATCTCTGTTCTCGAGTGAATTTTCAGTTCTACAAGGTCATTGTGAGATGGCAAATTCGACAAAGCCCAGTCACACAGGTAGAGATTCGTCTAGTCATTCTAGTTCTCGAACACTTTATTGTGACGAAAACATGCCTACAATCTTAATTTTTGTTTGTCCGTGCTAAAAGCGTGATAGCAGTTCACTTGGTTGATATCGTATATAAAATATTTTTTTTCACACAGAGCACATTGTTTTATTACTCAATATTACATGAGCTTAACGATTAATGAGCATCTAAGAAGCCCTTGGCATCAAGGAAGGGTAGTATGGTCTCGATTCTTCTCTGAATCTCTTCGTTTTCATACATCGAGTCCTGGAACTTAATGCCTTCTGGAGTATCCTGATAAAGATTTATAAACTCGCAGTCCTCGCTACCGTGGTATACCATAATCGGTTGGAATACGTTGGCGATAATTACACCTTTAAAGAACCAAATTTTGCTTTAAATTTGAACAGATCAATTACGACAGAACTTACTCAAGAATCGTCGCCTTTCGAATTGAAGCTGGTACTCAAAAAGGCTTGGAAATAAGCCTTTGTAAGAAAGTGCTTCCAATGTCTTTTTCAGGCCGTAATAGTGGTACTGGACCAGCTCTAATTCTTTGTCCTTCACTTCAGTCTTCAGGGAAGTACTGAAGAAGTAATGCAAATCCACTACCGGAGATGTTAAACTGCTGAACTGGAAGTCAATGGGCAGGACAGTGATGGGATTGCCCTCGTCATCGTACAGATACATAACGTTTGTAGTCCAACAATCCCCATGAACTAATGTCTTTAGGTCCTTCTCACCGACGTCGACAGATCGGCCGGCGTAGTCCATCAAGTTTTTGATGATATTCTCCAACTTTTCCGCGTAGCGATTCTTAAGATTCGGTTTGGTATTCACGTACCTAATGAATGCCCTGAACAAACCCACGAAGACCTCCCCGTAACCTTTTTTGCTTCCTCGAAAAGAAATGTGCATCATAGTTCTGGCTCAAGAGATTCGGCTCGCGTTGATTCAGCACTATCGCTGCAGCGTGGAACTTGGCCAGCATATCGAGAACCAGCTTGGTGTGAGTCATGTCGAGTTGCTTCACCCTATCCGCATTCATGTACCGGAGAGGAGCCAGATCCTCGAGAATCATTATCGTGCGATCCCGATCAACAATTATTGCCTCCGCCATTAGCTTATCGTTAAAGTTGGCCTCTTGGAGAATCTTGGCCATTTTGGGGAGGACGACGTCGTACATCTCCAGTTCCCTGTTGTAAACATCGTATTCCTTAAATAGTTTAGCTTGAGGAGCATCCGAAGGAACGCCTTGCTTCAGGATATAGGAACTTTTAAGCTTAGTTCCATCTCCACGTTCAAAGTCCACATAAATCCGAGTCATAACTCCCACGTAGTTCTCGCCTTTCTCCGTTGCCGGTTTGGCCCATATTTTCCTTACTCGGAGCTGATCGTCCTTGTGGAAGTTTTGTAAAGCTTTTTGGACATACGCCTCCGTTAACCAACTGGGCAACATGCTGACTGTTTCTCGAGCACCGCGAACTAACGAATATGAGGGCACAGCATCTGAACAAACGTTTATATTCAGACCTTTGTTTAATCAGTTAAGTAGTTAGTTGTTACGATAAGCGTAACATTTTACGATGCCCAGCTCAGCCAGGGATAATGACTATATAGTCTCCATTAAATCACTCCTGCACATGACCGGCATCGGCCTTGATGATCAGAGCTCGAAAATGTATATTTCCTAATGCGATTGCACTTGTGAAAGAAGACAAAATCTTAACTTTATTAGCAGATCCAAAATTTGATAGTAGGCTTTTTTTAAAAGAGGTTGAATGGAGTAAAATATTCCCGATAAAACAGAACCGTGAACCGTCAAAATTTTTGCATTCTAATGACAAATTGTCATCCCATTGATATATACATTTTAGCCAAGTCTTGCTTCAAGATTTTAGGTTTTTGATTAATTCCATCTCCTTGCGTTGCGTTTGCTCTTTGAAGTTCTCCGTTCTCCATTTTCCGTAGCTGATGTGGCGCTGAGTTTCTGGACTTGCAGCTGATTGTCCCTGAGAACTGTGAGGCTTTCTGAATATACTCCTCTGTTGGCCAACTGGGTAACATGGTGATCGTATAAAATATATTACAAAGTTTGCATTTGCTATTTTAAACATCAAAGTTGATTACTAGAAGCTAGTGATGATTATAACAATGTGAGCAATAGTTTTTACTGAACTGAGGGAGGGAAGGTTTGTAATGTTCACTTAATCATTTTTGTTCATTAGATCTTGCTAAGTTTTGCTTATGATCACTTAATCCTTTTTTGATCCTCTTTTCTCGGTCGTTCAATTTGGCTTTAATACGTTTCTTTTGTGCCTTGTTCGATCGACTGCCGAACATAAAACAAGTTCACCGGGCGCAGTACAAGAATAAGAAGTCGGCTTTAGAAAACTTGTTATGAATTTATTTGCAGAAAAGCGGCGCATAGTGTGTGTCGCCAATCAAGAGTACTTCAGTAAGAGATAGAGCTGTAAGCAATTCGATTTTTAAATCGATTTAATCAATCTTTTTAGATGTGCGAAAAAATCGATTTTTTTTAGTGAATCGATGCATCGACAATGGGTTTTAAATAAATAACAAGAAACATGATCTCAAACAATTTTTTTTAACAAATTTTACTTTTGTTTGCAACCGTAAAATCGGTGTTTTCCTTACCATATTTAAGCAATAAGTGAATTTTTTTTCGTTTTCGATTTTAAATCGATTTAATCGATCTTTTCAAGAATTGAATCAAAAAGAATCGATTCTCAAAAGAGTAAGAGAAAAGTAAGAGAGTGTAGCTTAAGCCACGTTGTGCAACACAAAATTTGAACGCGTTAGAATTTGCTTACAGAGTTGCCATACAGTTACATTGTTTCAACTTAATGTACGTTATATTCAAATGCTCCTCCGACATGTACTTTTGCTTGCATAAATTCGGTCCTACTAAAAATCAGCTGAAAACAGCTGTAAAACTGTAAACTGTAAAAATACAGTTCTCTCAAACGCAAAAATCCACCTGCTTATCTTTTCGTTTCTTTAAGTTAACATACTCACCAAAGTGAGCATTATGTTTACCCAACACTGCTATAAGCCTATGAAAGCTAAGAGCCCGGAAACTAGTAGGTCTTCAAAGTTAAGATGAAGTCTGCAACACTAATGGTAATAAAATACATACGGAAAATAACAATTTAAGCTTAGCATATAATAGAAAAGCTTATAGTGAATAGTGATAGCACATCAATAGTTTTCCAGCTCTAATCGGATGTCAGGACTCCTCCATAAAGACTGCTGAATTGGTTGTTTTTGCCACATACAGGTGTCTGCCGCTCCAAGCTGGAAGAGGTATATTTGTGCATGTAGGATTAAACCTATGTTACCTACATATGGCTGAATGAGTTCCATTCCTCTAGCTTTTGTTGTTGGTTGCAAAGCGGACAAATTCGAAAAATAAATTAACATTAATGAGCCGTTCCCTTCCCTTTCTTTCCCTTCCCTTCTGTATACTAAAAATATAAAAAAAATCCATACAATAATACAAAATAAATGGTTTATGTACAAAAAACATATTATTACAAACTTAATAGTCCTTTTCAATGAGTATCTAATGCTAACCAAATGGCCAACATAGAGATTATTTTTCGAACACAGCGTAATCAAGAGCATGACATACAGCATCTGAACAAACGTTTAAATACAAACTTTTTTTCTTACGATAAGCTAAGTAACATTAACAAGTTAAGAAATCTCTGTTAGGTTAAAGCTTTGTTTTCGGAAATAATTAGTATATTAGGAACTCGTTCCGACTTTAAGTTCCATGACCAGGACCTCGCTCGCCCAATAGCCAACTTATCTGAAAAGGTCATAAATTCATGCGCAATCACCCCTATCCATTCGTTCTACACGTACATATATCTGCCAGTTGATAGGGCGACACAAAAGTTTAGCCTTTTGTTGGCTTTGCATCGTGCCATAAACGGGAGCAAACAGATGAATGTGCCCACCGATATTTGCCGGGTTAATCATTTACATGTGTAGCTAGGAGATAGTAGGCAGTTGGCCCGAACTGGGCTTAAGTGGCATTAGGTGGCCAGCAAATTTAACCTATTGATTACGGGGAGTGCGTAGTTGACTGGTTAAACAATTGGCAAGGCTTCTTGGGAGTCCGAGCCAAATTGTACGGCAAACAAAGGCAGGCCCTGATAAGAAGCTGGTAAACATCGGGCCAAAAGAGCCGCCCGCACACACTACTTTTGGTCTATGCCAGATGGTCGAGGGGAAGGCTCTGCAGGGCGTGTCTGCTTGCGGCATAAACAAAATGCAAAAATAACAAATAAATCTATATTGGAAGCCAATGTATTTCATTGTGTTCGCAAACAGAGATGCTATTCGTGGAAATCCATTTCCATTGGCAATCGATAAAGCCGAAAATGAAGATGGCATTTGTTTTCATCTAAAATAAAAGAGTTTGCGCGTAAATTTCGCATTTATGTAAACATTTGCCATCCTCTAATTTGCTCAAAAACTATTAATTAATTGATTGAGCTTTTTATTGTCACTTTTATTCTAAGGAACTCATTAACATAAATTATAAAATAATCTTCTGCTTGTCCATTACTATATATACTAAGGGTTTTGAGATCACAAAAGAATGAAACCAATCATTAATATATTTAAAGAAATCTTTCTATTGCCGTAGATCATAAGTTTCCTGAATTATTTCATCACCAAGTATCAAATTGTGTTAGAAGAGCGGAGATAAAAAACAAAGCAGTCAGTACCAATTCTAAGGCCACGTAAGTGCGATCTTAGCACCCTCACGCTTTTGGCGTGCTGTTTGTTTCGTTTACAACTGATAATCATAATTCCCGGCTGGATGCCGTGGAACTTGCTGGACTAGGCCAGTACAGTTCATTGTGAAATGAATTTATCTTCAACACACGTATAAACGGCATTTTTTATAACTTTCAGATGTAGTTTAGACGTGGTTTCAAGCAGGATTACAATTTAGTACCGGTCTCAGTATCTGTGACGTGGCGTAGACCGAGCGTAGACCAATTTGTTTTCTTAGAGAGTGGCTCGTAATTTTTGGTTAATTAAAAAAACAAACTTTAAATATGTCATCTTAAATCTTAAAACAATTTGAGTTAGCAAGCAGAAGAGATTACTTTCGCAGCTTAAATATAAACTTTTGAAATATTCATAAACTTACTCGAATTTACAAGCGGCAAACATTTATAGCCGCGCTTTTTAGCTGTAAACATACAAATTCTAAAAGCAATTCCAGTTCTCTATTTCGGTCAGGGAAGTCTGCTTTAGTGGGCGTATTGATTCGACCAAATTGAAATGGCTTCTCGGAAGGCAAATCCCCTTTGTTTGGTAAACAAAGGCAATGGCACTGATAAGAGCCGGGTAAACACGAGGGCCCAGCGCCACTCTCACGTTTTTGTTTTCATTTTTATTTGGCCGGCGGTGCCTGTCGGGGAAGCGGTTGTTTGCCTTCGTCATAAACAAATTGCTTTATGCTCACACGAGAACTGTTTGCATTCCGGCAAATCCGAGGGGTCGGTGGTGGACTTATCTCCGGATTGATCATTTAAGTTTGTGACATCACACAACCAGAAAATTAAATATTATTGAAAACGATTTGCAAATATAATCAAGACCGAAATAATATTGATTTGTATATATGCAAAGTTTGCCTAAAAAATATTTATTTTGTGGCTGCGTGCCGCTGTGTTGCCGTTGCATAAATATTTTATTTTATAAATAATTGACTGTTTATGCTAAACTAAAAATTGCGGTAATCGCACATACTCGTTCAGTTTCTTCCCGTCTCATTTAGATAATTCAAGCAATTTTAGATTATTAATTCATTTCATTCACCTAATGGAGTGGAATCTCAAAAAATATTTTTAATCAATCAGTAAGCATTTTAGAATTAGTTTAGTCACTAACTTCTAGTACTTACCCCACTTTTTATCTTCCTCGAATCAAGCTCTGTATCGTTTAGGTTTGCACATTATAAAAAAAATAATAAATAACTTTATTAGGATACAATAAATTACGTAAGCTAATTACACCTAAAACGACGGTGACGAGTAACAATTTACTAGGTGTCAATATTGCTGGCACAAGTCCGATTGGTTTCCTCAGATTTCCCTACTGTATCCGCTTGCTGATCGTGTCCAGGTAGTTGTGGGCATTATATGCCTTACTCGTGGCCCAGTCCTTGCTATAGCTGTTGCCGCCGATATCGTGAGGAGCCCCGGATCCGGAGCTATAGGGGGAATAAGAGTTGGAGTAGCTGCTGCTGCCCACGAACTGGGAGTAGTCCGTGGGGTCAGATTCGTAGACATGAGAGTGAGTTTGAACCAGGTGCGGATGGATCTTGCACATGGTCTTGTACTTGAGGTAGTGAATCAGCCAGCCCACTCCGCCCACCAACAGCACGTTCATGCCCAGCACACCCGTCAGCATGGACACGAGGGTCATCTTAAGGTGGGCAATCTTAATCAGGATGATGAGTGGGAGGATAACGAGCCACTTCTTCTTCTTGCGCTTCAAACGGGCTTCTAATTGATGGGGATATTTCTTAAATTAACCTGGGGATAGGACTTTTGATAAGTCAGGACCCACCTGATTCCTCCATGACCCTAGCTCCACTGTCACTGTTTAGTCTCAACTGGAGTCCATGGTTACGTCCGAAGGTCTCCACCGCCCTCTTGAGGAACTTCAGAATCATCGTCAGCTCGCTGTCTCCTAAAAAACAAACAAAGAAGCAGCTAATCAACCGCTCTTGGAATGCAAATCCACGCAGCTAGAGGCTATAATGCTTCAAATTAATTTACAACCGGATAGATCGTAAACATCGGCAGTGGGTTATCCATTTTCTCCGGACACTTACCAGGCGCAGGCGATCAATTAAAGTTCGCCCCACAGAAACTCGAGCTGCGAATTTGGCTGAAAACAACTTTCGATTGTGTGGACCCACCTTCCAAGCTCTTGGCGTCGTTGAACACGACCACCTCGTCGGCGGGCTCTCCTAACTGGACCAATCTCAGCCAGCGGCCTTTATCCCCGGCTAGATCGCGTCCATACTCGTTGGGGAAGAAACCCATGCTGTTGGTGGCCAGTTTCCAGATGAGCTTGCTGGCCTTGTACTTGATGCAGGACACCAGGCTGCGGGTCTCGAAGCACTGCTTCTGGTTGCGCGAGATATAGGGATCGCTTTGAATAAGTCGGACCGAGGATCCTGCCGATCTGGCCAAGGATTCCGCTAGGGAAACTGGTGCTGTCTTGGTGGTCTCATTCTCCGCGTGGCAGTAGTGGAGCAGCACCAGCAGCAGCAGTGCCAGCACAATCCGACACAGCAGCATGTTTGTTGCCTGGTTTTCGGAATCGATTTAACCGCGAGATGACTGGGATCACTGGGACACTACCGAACGGCTGAATGGACGAGTCGCAAATGGCAACCGAGAGGTGCTGGCTACTCCTTTTATCGCGCAGCCGCAACCGCAGGCCAACTCTACTGGTTTTCGCAGCTAATGCTCATGTAGATGGAGCATTTAGATGGAGCATGGAGTATGGAGTATGGATCATAGAGTATGCAGCATGCACCGGAATAGCAATTCCTGCTGGCAATGCCAATGCCACTGCCGCTGAAAGTTTCTGGGTCAGCGATCTGCGATCTGCCATCTGCGATCTGTGATCAGCGTTCGATCGACATAAAATTGAATCGCATTGTCGCGGGATTATGAAGCCAATGTCGAGCAACAGGCAAACCACCAATTGACCGCCTTCCCGCTGCGTGTGAGTCGACATGAGTAGCAATGAAAGCCGGGTATTGAAAGTGAATCGCGGTCCGTGCTTCGATACAATTCCAATTATGATGGCCTGGCGCCAGTTGCTAGTAGTCAGTGTCCAGTGGCCAGCGGCCAGTGGCAGTGAACGATGCCAATCAGAATAAGTGCAAATGTGCATTTATGCGAGTTTAAACTGGCCACCGAGTGGCTATTGCATCGTGCAATTTGCATACCTCGGTTCAGCCTGGGAATGATTATTTGATGCTGGAGCTGGAGCTGTGACCGTCTTAATTACCAAGCCACAGACGCTGGATGCGAAAGTTGTTGTTGTCGGAGGCATTGAGATGCATTGCCCCTGTTGCATTATTGACTAGTGAAAGTAACAATTGGCGCTGCTTGTCCACCATTTTTTGCCGCAACTCATGGAATTCTCGAGCGCCGCTGACTGACACCGCTCGCAATGCAATTTATTGCTCGGTCTGTAGATGGCAGCAGTCGTCTGTGGTTGGACTTAATGAGAATGAGGTAATCGGATGAACTGGCTCCCGGCTGGCTCTGAGCTAGAATCCATCAACAGAAACAGCTGCGAAGAAAGTTTTCGGTATTTTGGTTTTCCGATCGCCAATTTCTTGTAAACATTGTCTTTAAGCCGGACAGGCTAACATTAATTACTGGAGCCCACCCCACTTCCAGCCCGATTTGATGGCTGCATATTAAATCACGAGGCGCACGCAAACGTGCGAGCATTCGGAGGATTTCGGATTTTGCACCACAATCCACAGCAAACGACTTTTACGAGAAATTAACAAAGGCGGTGAGAGGCTGAAACCGAAACCGAATTGCCTAGGCAATTAAGCAAATCCGATGTGCCAAGATTTTGGGCCGTTCGCCTGCTGGAGAAGGCGGCCGGATGGGCTGATAATTGTCATAGTGGCAAGGAGAGTTGGCCACCAGACAGACCCGGGTCGTAAAGACGTGGTTATGGCCTTGACCAGTTTGATAGTGAAATTTCCGTTCAGGTGCATCTTTCTGATTGGTTTGATGATAAAGTTTAAGTACGAAGCTTTTAAACAAATGCAGATTCCCAAATTGTTTTTCATGGGAGTAAAAAGTACCTGCAATAAAAAAAACAAGATCTTTATCTTATATATAATAATATTTTTACGTGCCGCTATTAACTTTATAGCTACTAGATAACAGATATGCGAAAGTGCCTTATCCTAAATTAAAAATTTCTTCAGTATATTTAATTTGTGTTGTTAAAAAGATTCAGCCATTTACCTTATTTTGCTTAATAGGTTAAAGCATAGGTTGTCTTTTAAAAGCATCTAAATATCCTGCAATATTTGTTTATTTCTTTTTTCTAAGTTTATTAAAGCTCAAAGCAATTTTTAAATAGTTTCCAAATTTATTTGGTATATCCACCGAAACTCTTATGTAACATAATGTTTCAAACTTTTGGAACCAATAATAAATAAACCATAAACCATTTAGCCCAGTTAAGTACTTTCTTAAAACAGTAATTCGCGAAAGCAAGCGTAGGGTTAATTACCAGCTATTTTATTAGTTTTTAGTTTCTTATACAGTTTTACGTTTCTATACTTCAACATATATTACTTTAACATTTAACATTTAAAGGCAAAATTATAAAGAAGAATGCGTTGTTGATAAATTGACATGTTCATGAAAACAAATTGTAATGCTCCACTATTTCGGGACCTTTCTAAGTCACACTACTTTCTGATACTCCAACAGATGTGTTAAAGTAAAATAGGGAATCAAAAAGCGACAAACTCACAAATTTCTGGCAAACGATTTTGCCATAAACGATTTGGCCGAAACGAAAGCACAAAAGCAATGTAAATATATTCGTAATGTATCGCAGTGTAAATTATATTATTTTACTTACGAGACGGAGCGCCATCTAAATTTTACTTTTGCAAACAGCGGCGTTAATACAAGCGATGGTACATTCTATCCGTTTTTGGCTTTTGCCGAAAGAGGGCGTCGCATTCATATCGAATACATGTATGTAGAAATCGTGAAAACATATGCGAGTTCGAACGAGGCTGGCCGGAGAATACATAAAAGGGCTCAACTTTGATCTGGCAGCACTTTGCTACGCTTTTCAGAGGTGACAAACCATTCGAAAAATAGCGGTCCTCCCCCACTAATTTGGGTATATTGACTAATGCAGTTGTTTCGAACATGTTGCACGCTGTAAACAATGAAATTAGCTTCAAACTTTCCTAGTAGAGGGTCGAAGAGAGTGACTTTTACCTATTGCTAAATATTATATTAATATCAATTCAATAACGACCACTTTTTCTCACCGAAACTCTTTTCTTATAGTCGTTAGTCTACTTTTCAAATATTTTTTTATCATCGTTCATCAGTCATTTTATCTCAAAAGATATTTTCCACTTGTAAAATACCGGTTCTTCTTTGCATCGTTTTGCATCTTACATGATTAAATGCTCAATCTAGAAAGACCGGTGCTTAGGTGATTTTAAATAAATTTCTTTCAAAAAGAGCATATTTGAATATACACCGTTCAAAAAACTAACTAACAAATTTAATTAAATCGGCATTTACAAGGAATTTCGGAAACCGTAGATCTTAGGTATGTAATTATAATGTATTCATTTCATAAGACAATCTTAATTATCCTGGCGTAACCAAATTTTTCTTAATCTTAAACAAAAATATATCTAACTTTTTTCTAACGAAAATTTGCTATTATTTTTCAACAGTTCATAAAAGGTGTTGCAAATATTTACGAATTCTTTTACAGATTTAAATCTGTCTAGTACTTTTCAAATGGGGGTACGGGAAACTTCTCCTGTTCCTACTAGCTAATCTTATAGGAGAACTACTGAATATTACTTATCTTCTAACTTCAGTTTTATTTCTAGATCTTGATCAATATACAGACCTCGTAGAGTAAAAGGGCATGTTAAGTTTACAGCTTGCCCCAGTACGCGAAAAGCTCGGTTCGATCATCTGATCGCTCTCTCACTTTTTGACGATGCGTGGGATCACGGGAGCGAGAGCGGAAACCGTAACAGAACGTACGTCGAATCTAAAGCGGGGCGCTATATGCACATTGCACATATAATATTAACCCGATATAGTAATTAAACGTTTTTGTGATTTTATCTGTTGGGGTTTGTTAGTCTGAACACAGGGGGCACAACTATACATGGTGGATTTATTAGATTCGATGAAAAGTATGTAACAGGTAGAAGAAAGCGTTGCCGACCCTATAAAGTATATATATATATCTTATCATTATTAATAACGAAGTCCTCACGCCACCAAGTTCGAAAGACGGTTTTCAATTTTTGCAGAAAAGCTGATATCTCGGTAATGGTTTTTTTTCTATCTAGCCACGCCCACTCTAACGCCCACAACACACGGAAAGCGAAATATGCGAAAATCTCGGGAACTATAAGAGCTAGAAAATTAGGGTTAGGAACACGAATTTTAGAAATGCCAATTTACTCATCCGGCCATGCCTGGTTTGTTTGTTTTACAGCTTAAATTATTTATTTAGAAATGGTTAGTGCAGTAACGGGTATCTGATACTTTTGACGATTGAATTCCTATCTTCTTTTTTTTATGACTCCAAAAGCCACCTACCTATTTCATTTTTGGAACTATAAGCATTCATCCAAGCGTTGACAGGTAATACCTTTTATAATAGCTCACAAAAGAGAGCGCTAAAGTCTTCATGTCGAATACATGTAAAACGTAAGTTATGTTAAATGAACCATTGACTGATGGTCTGGCAACACCGACAACGAGTTATATTTTCATTCGTAAATTAACAGATTAACAGTCACTGGTAAATAAATAAACAGCATGAGTTTTTACAATTATTATCAAAAAATTAACAAACACATATACCTTCTAAAATATAGTTTTTTTATTTGCCGTAAATATAGCCAACTCTCAGAGCTTATACTGATAAACTTAAATAAAATTTAATCTTTAGTGTATATAATTAACAACTTACAAATTTAACAGAGATTTCCTAACTAAATGAGAACATTTTGGTTACTTCTAGCTCGTAACAATCGCATTATCAAGGAGTTTTTGTCGAGTCCGTAGATGGAGGTCTGGCCACTGGACTCGGAAAATGACTCATCCGCCGCGTAGTCCGCGTTTAACGTGGTTGTTGGCAACTCGTTAGAGGCCACGGTGGTCGTCGACTCGCTGCCGGTGGTTTGGCTGTTTAACTCCTCGGCCTCTGTGGTCGAAGATGGTGGTGCAGTTGTGGTGCTTGAGTCAATACTGGTGGTTGGCTCCTCAGTCGCCTCCTCGGAGTCAGTGGTAGAGTATTCACTTGCCGTTTCCGCTGAGGAGGAAGCCGTATCCACACTGGTGGGTAATTCAGTAGTCGACGGATCTGTGGTGCTGGGCGGTGCAGTTGTGCTTGGAACAGGGGTGGTTGACGTCGAAGTAGAGCCCTCTTTGTTGGTCAGCAGAAACAGCAATTCCTGTTCAGGATCTTCAAAAGCACTGGCAGCGTTTCCAATATCCAAGTTTAAAAGTTCCGTGGATGCCATGCTCAGAATGGATGCCATCTTGGGTGGTGGCGTTGTTGTTGTACTCGTGGAGGTGGTTAGAGTGTTGGCATCCCTTGGAGCGACAGTCCAGTAGTAATAAGGATATTTCTCGCTTTTCGTCTTCTTGAAGGTTGTTGGCTTTTTGCCAAAGAAGCCGTTGACATTATCAAGAGTTTTCCGCACCAGCCAATTGTCGTTCGAGGACCAAGAGGCATCTTCATCACTGCTTACATGATTGGAGCCACTTGATCCAGCGAGTCCTAACGAGGGCAGCTCTATCTTGCGTATTTTACGATTGTTAGGTTCCAGGGAGGGGGAAGTGGCCTTGAAAGATTTCTTTTGCAGCTGACGTGGCTTGTATGGTGTGGTTGGAGCCCTAGTGGTTGTGGTGTTGACCAATAATTTTCTTATGCTTAGTTGTGGTGCAGTGAAGTTCTTTCTACCAATGCCATACAGAACTCGAGGCACCGAAATCCTTGGGCGACTTCTCTCGGTGGAAGGTCTTTTGGACATTTCCTTGCTTGACTTAGGGCACTCTCCCTTATGGGACAACTTCCAAACTGGAAGATAGTTTATATTAATTTTTGTATTTAAATTCAATTAGATGAAATTAAATCTTACTGCCTGTTGGGATCCTTGCAGCTCACTCTTTCCAGATAGCATTCGTTGATGATCGTGTGATAAATGCCGTTGCGAGTGGCACAAACGGGCTGATACACTGAGGGGCACGGCTTGTCACATCGACGACAAGCTCCGTCGTGGGAAATGGTCCATGCTGCAGAGATTGAGGTTGTTAATAGGGTATGACTTATAATTATATAGTTTATAGGTTTATCATATCAGCAAAATATCATAAAGCGGGTACTAAGAAAATGATTTGAAAAAACTTTTCCCAAGTGCTGCAAATTTAATTTGATAAAGAGGAAATCTATTGGTTTCTTAGCTCTTATTGGTATTTCAACAATCCCAAAGTAAGACTTACCATTTCCGACTTTTTGACTGTACTCCATCAGCTCACAGACATTGGAAAAGGTGCGGGTTTGGCCCTCAAAGCTACCGCAAACGGGTTCATTGCCGAAAACGCACGATTTCACGGGGATTCGTCGCACTTTCGATTTGGGGCCAACTACAGCATAGGGCTTCCTGGCGGGCAGAGAGTAGCTCTTCTCCATGGCGCCCGTATGGCTGATGAACTGCGTGTGAAAAGTCGAGGGGGCGTAGATCTCGACGGCGTCCTCTGGTATCTGGAAGTCTTCCGCCTGAGTGGACAACCTTCTGCTCTTCTGGCTCCGCTTCGTGCGCTCCGCATCCAATTTGGGCTTGGCCTTTGGCTTCTGTTTGCGACTGTGTTTCATCTTGGTGCTGTCCTCTCCACAAAGGCCCTGGGAAACTATGCGCCAATCTGTGCACCGGAAAAAAGATTGAAAATTATGGTTAATCTTTTCGGAAGTGATAAGAGATTTAAATATCACACATAATAGACTTAATAGTCGCACTTTTCTTTTCTTTTAAAATTGTATTTAAGATTTAAGAGTACTCACTTCTCTGAGTCTTGATGTTCTCCGCGTGAACTAAGCACTCATTGGAGAAGGTGGACTTGACCCCCGCATACAAGGCGCATACTGGACGATAGATCCTGGTGCAAGGCACCAGCACGGGTGGCTTTTGACTGCTCTGGATAACTGTGTTTGCCTTGGGACACACTCCCCACCGGTGGACCATCCAATCCGATCGGGTGAGGCAAGCGTTTCTCATCATCTCGCAGCGACTTGCGAAGGTCTTGCGTTCTCCACCCCTCGATCTGGTTCCACAAACTGGCTGCTTTCCCGAGCCACAATCAAACTCGCAGTTGGGAAAGCAAAAGCGGAGAGTCACATCATCTGTATCGGAATTATAAGAAAACGGTTAGTAAAATAGATAATTTTAGGAATTCTTTGTTGAAATTAAATGTTTGTGTTAAGTTCGTCTTTCTTAATAATCTCAGTTTAAAGTATTTGAAATCTATCAATTTCTCTAAGAAGATCAAATTAAAGTGGAAATGTGAATCGTTTAGTAATTTATCAATACAATTTATGGTATACTTAATACTCACATAGAGGACCATTGAGAAGATTACCCTGCTGGGCCTTTCGCAGGTCGCATTCATTGGCAAACAAAAAGTACATTCCACTGTCCCGGCTCTGGGCGCATGCTGGAGTATCGTCATCGGAGCATGGCAAGTTCATCCGATCCTGGGCAGCTGATGCCAGCAGTACGTGTAAGAATATTCCAAAACAGAGAGCAATCACGATTCGCCCAGCCATGTTCTTGCAGTTCTGAGACAGTTCCGAAACTCAATGCAATTCGAGATGCGTCCGCGGCTTTTATATTCCCCCCAGTGGCACGCGTTGAAGTCTGATGCATAGTTGATGATATTATCGGAGCCGAAATTCTGCAGACATCACATTGCGCGATAAACACGCTTGGCATCGGTGTTCTGCGAAATTTGTCACAGCCCGATAGATGGCTCGATTGCCCGGATTCGGTCTATTGATAGCGCCACCCGACGCGTCAATTAGATGCTCACAAAGTACGGAGTGCAGACTCTGCGGCTACGTGATATTCGGGCGATTTTGGAAAAGCCGCGAGATAAGCCCCAAGTTGGCATTTGCATAGATTGTGTGCGCGACAGCTTTGTAGTTAGTATCTTTTCCGCTCGCTCTAAGCCGATAATGTGCTCATCCTCAGCCATAAATATAAATAAAGTGGTGTGTGTGGAAAATGCACAGAATCACAGCAGAGCTTTTGGCCAACTCATGCCAAGCTGACGAATGAATGAACTATAGTAACTTATGCTATCTGGGCAGGAAGTTGTCCAAGATGGTTGGGATAAGCTGCTGCCAATGATGACGAGTCATTCAAGAAAAAATGCTGAAAATTGTCACGCACCTCGTGTCCAGATAGTCGAGTATACCGTGGGCTATTATGGAGTCGCTTAAATAATCGCTTGTTTATAGTATGGGTGCCTATAATCGTTGGTCTTGTGTTTAGTTTTATAAATTTATGTTGTTAACTGAAGATTCTTCAGGTGGGCTTGACTCTAAATGTAACCAGTTTAAGATGACGAATGAACTAAAAGCATTTAAGAAATTACGAACTTTCTTTATCGGCATTACATTATTAACTCTTAACTGAAAATAATAATTTTTAAACTTCCAAATAACTAACACTACCCCACTGTTACTAGTATGCTAATCATCGTAATTATGGTAATGGCTGGTAACATTCTGTTATTTATAGATTCCCAAATATTGCTGCCTCAAGCAATTAGCCAACCACCGCTAACCAAAAATGTGGGTCAAGTAGGTCAAGTTCCACCAATGCTGAGACCCATAATTGAAATATTATTTAATAACCGCTGCGGAACAGCAGGCGCTGCTGGATTCTCCGCTAATTTGTGTTCTTACGGTTCTCCGATCTCGGATCTCTAATCTGGCCAAGCGATCGGGCCTGCCACATTTCCCAGTTGGCATCGCGTCACAGTCACGCGCAGGCGTCATGCCAACTTTGGCAGCAGCTGCTCCCCGGCTCTGTAGGCCAATTGCTAATTTCGCGAGGCGGCAAGAAACTTCTTCTGCGGCTAATGACAAACAATTTGAGCCCCGGCAACGGGTGCTAAAATTACAAAATCTAATAACGCGCGGCGAAGGTGCAATCTGGCCCGAAAGAAAGCCACCGCGGAGTTGCTGAATCGTGAGAAGAGCGCTGAATGAGTTGGCCCAGAGAGCGGAGAGAGAGCGAAGTAGAGTTGAAGCGATCGCAGCTTTGGCTAACCATCTTGGCCAGAAAAAGTCGGGCCAGTCTAACGACGAGATCTGAAGCATAAAGACATGCGACGTCTCGGGTGCAACGGCCTTCAGAGTCATTGAACGCTTGCATTTTCCTGGGCCAAAACGCAGCTCTTAAATTCGAGTCAGTGCCAGCCGAAAGTCGGTTTACTCTACAAGAAACTTTAGTTAGTTAAATAGTTAATTACCAGTATGGTACTGGCCACGCCCCCTGTGAGTAAGGGCGGAAACGCGGGCGGCTGCTTCATGGATCAGTATCAGCAATACTCGGCCCACTGTGAAACCGCGGACAGTGGCAATGGCAGTGACCTGGAGAGCACTGGTGTGCCCACCAAACCGGATGACAGTGAGGAGAGTGGTCCCTCTTCCCTGGGCAGTGACTCTATGCACGGGAGCAGCACGGAGTACGTGAGGCAGTCGGCATCCCAGCCTAGTGGTCAGCGGCAGCGTCAGAAATCCTTAAGGGTTCTGGGAGCCCTGCTACCGGATAGTCTCCTTAGGGACATAAGAGATCGCAGGGGAACCGAGTACGTGGTGACATTCTCACAGCCAGAAGATGAGGAAAAGAATCAGATCCCAGAGCAGATCCCGGAGAAACCCGGTCCATTCCGCCTGGCTCGCGAATCGCTGAGCGAGGAGAAAATTGAGGAGTTGCGGGCCGCCGTGGAGCGGGCAAACTTTGTGCAAACCGGTGAAGAGACGCTGGACAGCATCGATGCCACCTCGCAATCTCTGCCCGCCAGCAACAACATCAGCGGACACCGCAGCAACATCAACTACAAGTATGCAGACGACCAATACTACAGCTTTCACATTAACGAGCACGAGAACTTCAGCGGCTTCTCGAGAAATGGCGACGAGGCGGACAGTTCAAGGGGAGCGGGATCGGAGGGGAGATCCGAGAGCGGGATCTTAACGGAGCAGCAAGACCTCTTCGCCGGCTATCGGGATGTGCGATGTGGGGCCAGTTCCACTCAGTCCACCATCCGATCCGCCAAGGGAACGGTGCGGGGCGTCAAGAACCGTGTGCGCAATGGAATAGCCACGTTCTTGCAGCTCCAGCAGCAGCCCAATGCCAAGGTGAGTACCGGGTTCATGATGGGATGGGATGGATAATTACGTTGAAATACTGCTCAGGTCCGTCCAGAGGCATTGCCAATCAGTTGCTGACTCCTTTTACCGGTTTTAATAATTAGTGTCTTGAACTTATTTCCATGCAATCGTTGCACATTGCACTTTATTGAGACACAGAAATCGTGCGTTTATAATTTACACCTCGGGTTAACTGCCTAATTTAAATAATTTTGAATGCTTAAGAGGTTGGTAAATTAGCCATTAGCAGTCGAAAAGTATTTCAGATTTTTGATGCATTTATTATTCACAATTATTTAGTAAACAGTTGTAATATATTGCGGCCTAAATATTAATGACTCGATTTAAAAAACTAGAAAGGCAACAATAAAGCACTTTAAAGAAGTCAACCAAAATTAGTTTTAAAGTTGTAGTTAGGGGTCTTAGCATCTTAGTTTAGATTAAACAAATCCGGGAAGCTACAAATTATACCTAATTTTAAAAACATCATGCATTTCGGAATGCTTCACCATACTTTTGACCGCAGCTGTGGTTATGAGTACCGATATGAATATTCAGTTATCGATGGCTAGTCAGTTCCCACGCTGCTGGGCGTCGGCAGAGGCCTCCAGTGGCGTTGAGTCACCTGCCCGCCCAAATTATGCAATTGGCTCGGTACGAGCATCTTGCCAATTGTCTGCATCTCAGTATTTCAGCATTTCAGCAGCTCGGGTGCTCAGCCTTTCAGCTGGCTGAAATGGAGAAAGTGCTGGCCAACAATTGAGGCGGCTGATGTGTGGCTGCGGCTTTTCAATATCTTTCACATTTCGTGTTTCGTATTGCCTGTAATCTAATGAACTGCCAGTGGTGTTCCCCTCGAAGGCCCCTCTGTCCGAGGAACCAGCTGCGCTTTCAGCGTCTTCGCCGGTTTCTTCTTCAATTATAATGGAAACCGTTAAGTGGCTTATTTTGTCTCCGTCGCTGTCGTTTTGTATGCGCTTAGCGCGCGTTTACAACTTGCCCAGATAGCCAGATATCGCCTCGGCAAATTCGGGTTTGTTTCTCGCTTTTCCCAGCTCCAAGTTTATAGTTCCCAGTTCCCAATTCCCACTTGGCAGAGGCATGTGGTCTGGGTGCGGGATTGACACGACTAATCGCAGTTAATGTCGGGCAGTTGGGGATCTGGAAAACAAATAAAAAGAACAGCTAATTCCACGGAGACAACGGGGCTGAGTGGAATTGTCATCGTAAAAGCGGGGTCTGTAATGGTTTCTTTTTCCGAGGCGTGTTCTCGGAACTAGTTTTGCATAAAGCGATCTTAATTAATTCGCTTGATAAATCAATACCTCTTCGTTGATTTATGAGCAGCTTTCTAGTGTTTTAAATCAATATCTTAGCTTGAAAGTCTATCTATTGGCAGTGTCTTTTTTGAAAACTATTGATAAATCGTTGGCCTCTTGATTTAATGTTGATATTTGAAAGAGTGGCATTAAGAATTCCACCTTCGAAGTGTTTTCTAATAAATTAGCAAATGTGTTTATCGAATCATCTGATAAATCTGGGGAATGTCCGTGTGCTGATTTAGGATTGTGATTGAAAAGCTTTCTAGTTTCTAGTAACGTAATATGATCCCAAGACTCCATAAGTTTGCATTGAATAACACGCCAAATCACCAGCACTTATTTATTATTATACTTTGATAGTGATATTTAATGCTGATTTATGATCAAAGGCTTGCGGAGGTTTCTAGCATTTTGGTTACGTCTTCAAAGTCTTTATCAGAAATCAAACAAATTGCTTATTTTCAAGTCGCAAATTATCTGAATTGCCGCCATTAGGAATTCCCCTTCCCAAATCGCAGCTCATATTAGGGTTTCGAAATAGTTGTGATTGATTTCGAGTCTTTCCACACAGCAAACGCCATTTAAGATCGAAAACCTGTCGCCATGTGATGGATTATCGCTCAATCGTTTTTCCGGCTGTTTAAGCGCTTTTCTCCCGTTTTGCCTTTGTCAACCATGACATGAGTAGAAATCTTTTCTGCTCCATATTCAGATACACAGATACATATCTTCTGGATGGGGTATGATACTGTTTTTTATGCTTTTTAACTTTTATTAGTTGGCCCGCTTCGAGATTTCCCTTTATCTAATTTAATGAGCAGATTTTAGATCACATTAATTGTTTTGTTTTGCGTCTCGAGCTGCGACTCTCTTGCTTTTCACTTTCTGAACCTGATGAATTGATGGAATGATAGCTGGCTCGCCGGACTAGAAACAACGGCGGATCAGCACAACTTAAGTGGATGCTAACTGAATAGAAATGCTTTATGGCTTTATAGCGGCTCGCATGCAAATGAGGGTTTTGAGGAGGAGGAAGCATTCAAGAGCCGAGAGCCACAATGAGGAAAGTGAGATGATGCTAATTACAATGCATCCGTCGGAATGCAGAGCACTAAAAATCGAAAGTGAAAAGGCGGACCGGCATTGTTTCATATGGCTCTTTATTATGGCCCTTTTACAGCGCATTGCTGCAAGCCATAATTAAACTGCTCACCGAATTTTCGATGGCCGATTGGCCACAAATTGGAGGTGCAGGCCACAAATCACCAGTTCAGCTCATTTCAGTTGAGTTAAGTCCAGTTCGGTTTGGAAAAGTCACAACTCACTTTGTCACCTTCGAGAAGCATCAGCCATATCTGCTGGCTCGGCATTAGCCTCCATCTCGATGTTGCTGTTGCCCAACTCTTCGATTGCCAATCACTCTACTGCTGGCTCTTGGCCATACAAGTGACCTGCTTTCTCTTTTGTCCACTTATATGTAGCAGTTGCTGCTGAGCCATAGATGTTGCTGTAGTAGATGTTGCTGCTGCTGCTGTTGCTCTCGTTGATGTTGCTGCTGCTGCTGCTGTGACAAAAGTCGCGCTGAGGTCAACCGTGCAAATCACGTGTGGTAATTGTTAATTGCCGCTGTGTTTATGTTTTCGGCAATGCAAATTATCAGCTCGACCTGACATTGAACCACTGACGGATGGCGGTAACCGCCAACACCAGCTCCAGCACCATCACTTGGTGGTTTATTAGCCCGCCTTGGGGCTTTTCTTTTCGCCAGAAGACAATCGTTGGAATTGAATTGGAAAAACAGCTCGACAACGTTCACTTAGAGCTGGAGTTGACTTTCCATTTGACCGCAGCTCGCTTGTTGTTTGTTTGCTTGCCAGCCAGCCAGCCAGCTTGTTTATTGTCGATTTGGTTCGTGCTGCGTGGCTTTGAACTTTTTCCTCAGTTTTGTCGTGAAATATTTTTCTCGCTTTTGTCGTTTATCGTTGACAACGGCACTTGCAGCTGCATCTCTTCGGAATGTTGTCTCCCTGTCTCTATATCGGTATCTCTGCATTTTCCATTTCCATTTCCATTTCCCTGCCTCCGCTAAGCTTATTAATTTTCTGCATTTCCATTGCCATGCAAATTCTCGTCTCACCGGTTCCAAGAGCCTACACGGAGAATATCTAATCAATCGCTAATTTTTATGTAAACATTTCCACACTGCAAGCCTATTTTCCATTTAAGTTTATGCTTTTGGTAATGAAAAGAGTCAGCTTGAGCTGTGTTTTCAATTTAAAACCATCTCAGTTTCGCTTGTGTTTTTAATAGTAGTAATTAAAATCTTACATAATGTCATATTGCATTATAAACTTTTGAAAAACTTAGATCTTTTGGCTTGTTCTTTAAAGCATTTATGTATGTATTTGGTAGTAATTCCACTTTTCATGAACTTTATTTTTTATTTTACGCATTAATAACCTTTTAACTTAATAATGTTTTTATAAAAATCGACGACAATATTACTATTACTTCAGATTTGAATGGAATTTTTCTATGGATGGAACAATAATTATCCATAAAAATCATAAACAAAAGAGAGCCATAAATAAATCAAGAAAATATTTCACCTTTTGTATCACAATCAACACCTTTTCAAAGTGCTATTTAAGATAGATGGCCACCTTTTCTTTTCGTGTACAAAATGCATCTCCACGGTTCATTGATACCAGACTGTGCAGCGCAGGTGGGGGAACCGGGATCAGATCGGATTTGTTCGGTTCGGCTGGTTCATTAGCCAAAGCAGACGCCACCAAAGTTGGCCAACTAACGGAAATGTTAATTGTCAAATGAATTGAGCGATCCCCAGCTGCGAACCGGTTCGGGCTTACAAAATAAGACATCATAAATTGTCGGGAAAGCATTCCAGGTTTCCATTGTGACTCTGGTGGCTGGTGGCAACGTCGATTGCCTAGCAGTTTTCCTATTATTGCTTAATTGTATTGATTAATAGGATTTTGAGTGACATGTAGAGTTGGCTGGTTACGTGACTCCCAGCTCCAAGCTCCGAGCTAATGAACCCAAAGCCTGGTAGAGAGAGAGCTAGAGGTATTCCACCAGCCGCAGATCGAGATGCAATTTCCAACCAGTTTTTATCTCCCGAATTCCAACTCCCCTTGTGTGTTTATCGCCAAGACCTGATTCTAGTTAAAAGTGCTGACTTCACATTTAGGTAACACACAAACAAATCTATTTCCAAATTTTATCATTAACTGTGCTTTAAATATTCCACAAACACCATGATTATCTAAGTTATAAGAACACTATAATGGAAGTTGATCTAAAAGTCAGACAAATGGGAAAACTTAGCTCTTCCCCGTCTGATATTAACAGTGTCTTATAGTTGATTAAAGTACTCGTATATCACATTTAACTCGAAAATAGACTTGTAAAGAAGTTGTTTGGAAGAAAGAATATTTCCTTGCATTGCGTCATAACTTGTATAAATATTTTCTTAACCTGCAATATAAATAAACTAAAATGTTACCTCTTTTTTGTTCCAAGAGGCCGATTTTCTCTATTAACAACAATTTGAAAAAATATGTATTCTCCAAACATCATAAAAGAATTCACATGCATTGATCGACTATTTTTAAAGCAAAGTCAACCGAACAAAATGTTGTTTTTCGAATGCTGAAATCTCTATTGATTCACTGTTACGCCTGCATAGAGGCTTCCGCGTCGCCTTTGTCTGCGGTTGGCCTTCATCCTCAGCCGGTAGAGACCCAATTTGGCATTGCTATTCTTGCCTGACCATGACAGACTTCGAAATCCGCGCTCTGTGGCGAATGGCGCGCCAATTTCCAGTTTTCGGTGGCCTGCTTTTCAGCCACTGCCAAACCAGAACTCGAACTAATCTCTGATCTGTTTTTCCCGTTTCTCTCGCCCCACAGAATTTCAAGGAGAAAGACCTGGGAAAGGTGGTGCTGTACACTACCAGCATGGGCATCATCCGGGAGACCTACACGAAATGTGCCAACGTGAAGCAGATCCTGCGCACCCTGCTGGTGAAGTTCGAAGAGCGCGGATGTCTTCATGAGCGTGGAGTACCAGGCGGAGATGCGTCAGCGGATGCAGAGTGGCCACGTGCGTGTTCCCCAGCTGTACGTCGAGGGTCAGCACATCGGAGACGCCGAGACCGTGGAGCGGCTGAACGAGTCCGGCGAGCTGAGGCAGCTGCTCAAGCCCTACAAGTCCATGGCCAGTACCTTCACCTGCCAGACCTGCGGCGGCTACCGGCTGCTGCCCTGCCCCTCCTGCAACGGATCCAAGAAGTCCGTGCACCGCAACCACTTTACGGCCGAGTTCGTGGCCCTCAAGTGCATGAATTGCGACGAGGTGGGCCTGGTCAAGTGCCACAGCTGTTGAGGAGTCCCAATAGTCCAGTAAGCCCAGTTAGTCTTAGCCACCCAAGTCCAACGTTCGGAATATCCTAGGCCTAAGTAGTAAATAGCTAAAACGTATGAGGGCTTTGTGTTTTCATTTGCGGGAGGGTAAAAAAGGTTACCTATACTTAGAACTAACAAACTTATGCTTAATTATAACTTTTAGATTCCTTAGACAAGGATTTATTTTTGTGTAAAATCAGAAATATTTTTGCCTTCCCTTTAAAATTTCTTTAAAAATTTAATTTGATTTTCTCTGAATTATCATCAAGATTCTTAAAATTAAGCAGTGGGATGGGAAGCTATGGGTTAAATATTTCAATATGAAAATGTTTTTATGGAAACTATTTTGTAGTCATTTCTTATTCTGTTTATAAAAATGACATCTTCTTAACTTTAACATGTTTTATGTATGCCTTTGTAAATTTGTTTTAATATAAGTCTAACAAATGTGAGCCTATAAGTAGGCCATAGCTTAAAACTTAACGAAAGTGGCTTCCACTCTCCTCATATCTTGAAAATTTAAGCCTAGTAAGTACTTATGTGTAAGTCCTTCTAATTATTTTAAGCTACTGAAACAATCATCAACACTAAGCATTCAGCAATAAATATAAAGTCAACTAAGAGGGCACTATGTCTTCATCGGTACTTGTGTGCGCCAGAGGGGGGATAATACATTTTCTAGGTGGTTAAAATATCGGTCGGACCAATGAAACATTTCACCAAGAAATAACCAATATTTGCCTGCAAATAAATAGTTTGCCTGAAGAGCAGAGCATATATTTCAGATGCAATTAAACCAGTTGGCGCTTTAATTTTTCATTAATTTCCAATTGAACCGCAAAGTATGCAAAGCCTAATGCCGATTTTGCGTTCAATTAAATGCTGCCGGCTCCTGAATGTTTGGCGGGGCTTAAAATTAATTTAGATATTTGTTGATTGCATTGCATACTTTTAGGCCTACCATCCACTAGGGCTGCCAACCCACACCGAAGAAGTGCCAGCAGTCGAGCCCAACCTCTGGTGATTATTCCCGTTATGATCGCTCGCCCAAAATGACCTTTATTACCACATCACCCGGACCATTGCTCTCCAGCCTTCTGGGGAAGTGACTTACTGGCCAACTAAAGCAAAGGAGCAGCCAAAACTATGCCACCGCAGAGCTGGCCAAGACAAAGAGTATATATTTCAGGAAATAGTTAAATGTTATACAGGGGCAGGGGCCTATATGCACACGGACCCTGCAGCAATGATTGCTTTCCACTCCGGTCCTCAGCCTCTGGCTCATGCATCTATTCTGCCCAATCTGCACTGCGGGAAATACCTTGGCCCCTAAAACTTTTTATTTTGTATGTATAAACAAGAAGAAAAATCTCTGAATTTTTAAAAATGACTGTATTATATTATATTTTCAGTAGCATTGCTAATTCAGGTGCTAAAGAAAGTCTCAGGTAATCTCTCTTAAACGTAATTTAAAATTAATTATATTAATCAGATTAAGCATTTTGTTGAATTTGTGATTTTTAACAAACTTTATTGTCATTTTTAAAAACCTTTTTAAGTAAGGGTATAATAAAAATCCATTAAAAAGCGTTTTCAAAATCAAAAGATTTACCTAACAAAGTTGTCCGATTATATGTTAATATTTTTTTATTCGTTTTTCTTTTTATAAATGCTGGATTTTATTTTAACTTCTTTTATCCAAGTGTCTCCTCTGACTCGGGGCAATTATGTAAACCGGCTTTTCTCTCTTTGCACCACACCGACCATGCAATTTTCTCGCGCCATTTAATTTTTGTCGGCCTGCTCCTGGTCGAGCTGGGGAAAGCTGGAAAAGCTGAAAGAGCTGTCGGAGAACGGGGAAGGACCGTCTGCGTCCTGGCCTTTCTGCCAGTTAGCCAGCCATTCGGCATTGCCATTTGCTTTTGGTGTCTTTGTTAGTTATTGTTATGGCCCTTTTTAATGTTATTTTCCACTTGGCTCACACTTTTGTTAACATGCCGCCCCCGAACGCACAACGTTGGCAACCCGCTGACCAGCCGAACTGACCGAAGGAAACCCTTTCTTGATGGGAGTGGACATGGTGGGTGTGGGATTGCTGTGTTTCCGCCACCCGAAAGCCCCCGGATCGTTAAATTCACAGGCGGCTACATTGTAATTACCAAGCGGAGCCACCGCCGAGCTGCTGGCCCAAATCCTCGACCAAGGCGGCTTGATTTATGGGCCAACAGCGGCGTCGTCATACGCAATTTTTCATAAACAATTTGGCACAGTAACACGAGCACACACACACTATGTAGGTAGGGATTGGAGATGGAGTCGAGTTGGGCCCCCGAAAATATTAAAATATATATTGTAAATACCGGTAATGCTGACAAACGGTGGCCCCGTCATGTGAGTGCCGACTAGTGGCCAAAGGCAGCGGGATGGCTGTCGATTCGCAGGACTCTGGGTTCGAGTCGGGATCTGCTGTGCCACATTGTGGCAGCTGGTGGCCTGCCAGTTAAGCTGGAGCCGCAACTGAATAATGCACTGAGGAAAATGGATTGTATTTAGGTTAAGCTTGATGGAAGTTTTAAAGATATGTACATAGTGGTTTGCATACAATAAGACACGAAAAGGCAGATCCCTTGAACAGAAAGAGTTCTCGAAATAAATCCCCCTTAAATGTAATATGACCTTAAATATATAAAGTGACACCCAGTTTTCTCAAGTGCATAGAAACACCACGCCGAACAGAACCCGCTCCTGGATGGAGCTGCCTTTGTTAAACTTTATCCGCGGTAATTAGTTTATGCGCGCAATTTCATGTGCAACTTGGTCATTAAATATTTTTTGTGCCTGGCGGGGGCGGTGGTTGTGCATTATTATTTTGCCATATTTTCCGGGGCTTCGGTGGCTGGGGCCCGGGAATACGACGAGTATCTAAAAGCGATACTCTCTCGGCCCGGAGCAGGTGGTCCGGAGCTCTGGCTCACTATAAATTAGTGTGTCAAGCGGATGGCGGCATCGCTCCCAATTGGCGACAAATAAAATTAGCCACACATTATGTTTTGGCAAAAACTTTCAAATTGTTTTGGCTACCGCTCCCGCAGCTCATTACCCTGTTTGTTCGGGCGCCGTTGTTTTATTTCCCAGGCAATCCTGTCCCATTTCTGTACTGCGGCCATGTCCTGCTATGCTCTCCACTGCTCTGCTCCCGGCGAATCGGGTCGAATCGGGATGGCCACAAATCACGGACAGCTACTCAACGGATTATTAAGTGAAAATTATGGCACTCCGAAGACTCATAAAGCATTTACAATGCCTCGACCGGGGCAGCGGCGGTTAGTTACATTTTTTATTGTCACTGGGCTCGGGTGTTGCCGTAACCCATTTGCCATTTGCCATTTGTCTGTCTGCCATAAAACTAGCGTGGCTCACATTACGGGCCAGTCTAAGTCGCAGTCCCAAGATCCGGGCCCAGAAAAATAACAACTTTGTTCGCGAAGCTGAGTGTGTGCATAAGTTTTAATCTGCCTTCGTTACAATCAGCTGGATTCTGCAGTTGCCAGCAGTAAAAAAGTACTTAACCATGTTAGTTTGTAGGGTGAAAGAGGAATACACTTTCTAAACTCAACAAGGAAATTAAATTAAATTAAAAAAATGGTGGAAAATGGGTCAAATTCTTGATGAATATGTCTTAAATTGGCTTAAAATGTTCAATCCCCCAGCCTAGGTTGATGGAAACTGGTTTTTTTTTCTTTTCATGTAGCAACACGTCTTGGGGTAACCAACCCCTCGGCAAAGTCAATAAGCTTTTCCAAAACATTCGCCCAAAAAAGGAAAGTGCATAACAATCCGAGAGTGGCACACTTTGAGCAGTAAATAAAATAAAAAGGCAAAGTGCGGCCAAGAGATAGCAAAAGTAAGCAAAGAATTGATTAAAATTTATGCTCCCCACTCACACGCCCCGACTTTCACACCCGAAGACAGGCGGCACATGTGCTCTATAAAGATATATCTCCCAGACAGCCATCCTCCCATATCGGAATCTCGCTCAGCTCCTTCTGGGATGCAGTGGGGTGCGCTGAACAACATTTTGATTAAATTATTTTAATGGCAAGTGCGAGATATATGGTAAATATATGCGCCGATCTATCGCCGGCTCATCTTGCGCCTCTGGCGCAGCAGCCAATTAATTCAGCTGCGAACTATTAAAGCACACACTGGGCACTCATAAATCGAGGCATGAGTTGGAGCGGAGTTTGCCCGCCACCAGCAGCAAAAACAGAATCAGGACTTGAATCAGTGGGCCGGGGAGCAGGAGGCGCATGAGGCGCAGGAGGCGCCGGAGTATCAGGGCAGAACATCATGAACCAATTCTCCGGAGTGAGCTGCAAATGAATGAATATTTCATAGACGCGATTCCGAATAGATGCAGAGATGCAAAGGCACTGCCGACGCGGTATTAGCTAAGCAAGCAGCTGATGGACGGCTCGGGATTCGCCATGGATTCCAAAGAGTCACTGAACTGGGCGAAAAAAGTGAGGCATATCGGGAAAATCTTTTTCTTGAGACAGGCTAAAGGAAAAGATGTCAAAAACTTCATATTTCTGAAATCTTACTTGAAAATGTATTGATATTTTTTTCCATACCAAGGTTTCTGATTTTCACAGGAAATGGATAATATACTTATATTGCCAGAGGGAACAGAAACTTTTCCATAGTGTATAACCAAACTCTGTTTCTGTTTTGGGCACCTGCCCGCATGGAGCGTCTCAGCAGCATCTCCTTCCCCAGCGCCCGCATGTCGAACGGAGTCCTCCGACTCCTCCGTAAGTCCAGGGACGCTCTGACTGACTGGTAAATATTTATCGAACACGATTCGCTCGTTAGGCGGACGCAGCACACACATCGCCATCGCACATCGAACATCGCCATCGCACATCGGGAGCTGAGTCCCTCATGTCTGCTGCTCTGTTGCTCTGTCTCGCACATTCGTTTTTCACTTTGATTCATTCCAAAGCATTTTTCAATTTCTTTGTGAGAATGCCAGCAGAGGAATACCCTCTCGAAGGGCTCCATTTAGGTGGT